GGTTCTGGTGTTAGGGCGTTGCTCTTGATTATATAGTGAAAATGCATTAAATCTTTGAACCAGAAGTCTCTGTCGAGACTGTAGCTCTACTGGTTTGTACTTATAACAAAGGATTAGAAAGAAAGGAATTGCCTTCAGACCAAAACTGTAGGAGGACTAGCTTTTTAAAGGAATTTCATAGAGAATTCTATTTTTAGTAACCATGGCAACACCGTTCATCGAAATCAAAAAACCGATGCACTAATTTATAACATCTTAGTGAAGTCTACTTGAGTGCCAAGTTATACTGAAATCAGACCAAAACATAGGAGGAGTAGCGTTTTAAAGGAATTTCACAGAAAATTTCTATTTTTAGTAACCATGGCAACACCGTTCATCGAAATCAAAAAACCGATGCACTAGTTTATAACACCTTAGTGAAGTCTACTTGTGTGCCAAGTTATACTGAAATCAGACCAAAACATAGGAGGAGTAGCGTTTTAAAGGAATTTCACAGAAAATTTCTGTGCTAAAGGAATTTCACAGAAAATTTCTGTGCTATTTTTAGTAACCATGGCAACACCGTTCATCGAAATCAAAAACTGATGCACTATTTTATGTATCTTAGTGTAGTATACTTGTGTGCCAAGTTATATTGAAATCAGACCAAAACTGTAGGAGGAGTTGCGTTTTAAAGAAATTTCTCAGAAATTTCTATTTTTAGTAACCATGGCAACACCTTTCATCGAAATCAAAAACCAATGCAAAGAATTATGATTCTAAGTGTAGTTAAATTGTGTGCCAAGTTATATTGAAATCGGAACAAAACTGTAGGAGGCGTAGCATTTTGAAAGAATTTCACAGAAATTTCTAATTTTAGTAACCACGGCAACACTGTTCATCTATATCAAATACCGATTCACAGAATTATGTATCTTAGTATACTCTACTTGTGTGCCAAGTTATACTAAAATCCGACTAAAACTGTAGGAGGAGTAGCATTTTGAAAGAATTTCACAGAAATTTCTATTTTTAGGAACCACGGCAACATCGTTCATCTATATCAAATACCGATGCACAGAATTATGTATCTTAGCATAGTCTACTTAAGAGTTAGGACGGGGCTGTCTTGATTATATTGTTAAAAATTATTTTTTTGAAAATTTTCTCCTTCTTGGGTAATACTTAAACAAACTAAGTACATACATGTCGTTATGATAACCAAGAGTGCCTCTACCAAAATTGTGAATTTTATGGCCCCAGGGTCAGGGGTTCTGGTGTTAAGTCGTGGCTATATTGATTATATAGTGAAAATGCATTAATTCTCTCTAAATCTTCTCTGCTCCTGGGTATTATATAATCCAACTAAGTGCATAGTTATGATGAGCAAGAGTGCATCTATCAAAATTGTGCATTTCATGGCCCCAGGGTCAGGGGTTTTGGTATCAGGCCGGGGGTCTGTTATAATTAATGATTATAGTGAAAATGCTTTACATCTTTGAAAATCTTCTTATCTGCTCCTTAAGTAAGTAGATGAACTATCTAAATAGTTATGATGTGCGAGAACTCTTCTTTCAGAACTGTGAATTTCAAGGCCCCTGGATCAGGGATATCATAGAAGGGGGGCCGGGCTTTACATACTTACTGAAAATAAATTGTATGAAATCTGCTCAATCAAACATTTTTGATACGCAAGTGTGGTGTGCAAGTGTGCCTTTACAAAAAATGTGAAACGTAGACCTTGGGTCAGGGGTTCATGTGTTGTAAGGGCATTTCTGATCATTGCTGAATATTACTGATTTTATTGAAATGTATTTTTTGTATTCCTCTACCCAGCATATGGGTATTAAGTAGTGTTGGCAAATCGGACGATTTTTAGTAACCGGTTACTCGCTTCATCGTCCGATCGAGTACCCGGGTACTCGGATGACTTTTGGTAAAAGTATCAATATCTATTATTAATCTTATTCTATACTTATCGGTAGTAGTAATGCACAAATATACTGTATAGGGACATTATATTTACAGAACACAAACACACGATATCGTCAAAGATTTACGATTCTGAAATAAAGAAAATTAATAGGGAATTCGACAACAAAGACAAATAAATGCGTCATCGTCAATCACCATTTTACACTTTCTTTTTCAGACCCCGAAATATGTCGCAATCAAGGAGAATAACTATTTACATACTCCATAATTAATAATTAATATGTGGAGTGTCTAGTAAATCGCTGGTTTCCGAATAATTTAATTAAACAGATTTTGAATAAGCTGTTCTTTTGTTACAACTCCAAGCTTATGATGTCTGCGGCGGCATCTCGTTAAATTATCAAATGAAGTACTTACAACTCAGGCCTTCAAAATATGTATACCCCAATTAAGCGATCAAAGCTATCAATAATATAAACTGTGAAAACTAATCAAAACAGTTTGATCCACTACAACCATGTATTAGATCAAGTCTAACGGTACCTTAAATTAGGGAAATATGTAAGTTAGTATACATTTATAAATTATAAAACATTCATTTTCTATGCCTTGACTATGTAGAATTTATTTTATCCGAGTAACCGAATAGCAGTTTTACTAACCGATACTCGCAACGTTCGACGGTTAACCGGGTACTCGTTGCCAACACTAGTATTAAGTAACGAAACTAATCAAACTAGAGATTTTTGTAAAACACTTTTGCCCCGGTTTCCCCTATTTGAATTTTCCTAAGTCCATAAGGTATGGCTCTATCAATAATGGCACGATCATACCCAAAACAGAACTTGACTGATAAATCTGTATACCAAATTTCATTTCAATATGTGCAACCTCTGCGAAGGAAATGAACGGAAACTGCTAATAGGTGGAGTCCAAGAGGCATAACTCTAATACGATGGCACGATCGTACCCAAAACAGAACTTGACCAAGATATTTCTATCATAAATCTGTGTATTAAATTTCATTCCAGAATGTGCAAGGGTTGTTAAGAAAACTAGAGGTACTGTGAGCAATGAGCTCACTAAATGATACCCCCGCCTCCCATATGGTTATAACTGGTGAAGTCCATGTTTTCCTGTGGCCGGGAAACCCAAAATATGTGTCGGATCAAAAAGTAAAATAGGAGGTGCACAATGGCAATATGTAATAAAAATTCTGTGAAAGTTTCATCAAATTTCATTCAGTGGTATGAAAGGAGTTGCGGATAAGAGATGTGTACCCCAAAGCGTAACAGACGGACGGACGTACAGACGGACGGACGGAATTAACGATTACTATATACCCTCCCGCTTTTCAAGCGGGGGGTATAATGAACGGAAACTAAATGGACCGACAGACAGCAGCAAAGCAATATGCCCTCTTCGAAGGAGTATTGTGAGTATTGTGTAACAATTTTCAAACAATTTAAATTGGTTCATGTTTTACCCCAGAGGCCACGAAATTCACACTTGTGAAAGAGGCACCATTGCTTATCATAATTATAAACTTAGCATGCTTACTATATTTACTTAATACCCAAAGAAAGATCACGGTATGAAAGAAAAAAATGCATTTCAACTTTATAACCAGTTGTGCACTTCACCCCAAAGGAAGCACTGACCCTTGGGCCACATATTTCCAAATTTTGCAAATTTTATCATATACAGTTGATTAATACTAAAAGAGCAGATTTCAAAGCATTAATTTATTTTCAGACTATGTACCCCCACTCTCACCCAGAGGGGCTTAAAAAAAATAACCATTTTGCTAGATGCACATTTCTTCATCATAATTATACATACTGTATGGAGGGTTATTTTCGCCCTGTGTTAATCCCGCCCTTTCACACTTCCAAACAATTTTGTTCTGTTTCAAATTCGCCCAGTCATATTTCTGTTTAAGACATTATACTATATTTTTTGAATTCGACCCGTTTAAAATTCGCCCAAATGAAGGTAAGTCGAAAGAGGCGAATATTTCCCTGCATAGAGTATACGTGGATCATTGGCATAAAACCCAGGAGCAAAAGAAAAGATTTTCAAAGAATTTTAATGCATTTTCACAATATAATCAAAGAGGCACTCTTGCTCAACTTAATTATGTACTTAGTTAGTTTAATTAATACTCAAGAACAGAGAAGATTTTCATAGAATTAATCCATTTTCACTATATAATCTATATAGCCTCGCCCTAGCACAGGAACCCCTTACCCTCGGGCCATGAATTTCACAATTTTGGTAGAGGACGCAATGCTCATTAAATTCACGATGCACGACGACGGACGAAAAAGGATAGCAATAGGTCACCTTAGTTACTCAGGTGACCTAAAAATGTGTGAGATTTATATCTTAATTATCAGAATATGCGTGTTATGATCCTCTTAAATTGTTGTAGTTTTTTTTTTATTAAAAGTACTAAAATTTTATTTATAATATTTGTTGTGCTTAATTGATGTAGCATGTATATAAATGATTTGCATCAATATGACTCATTTCAATAGCTGAGTTATCTGGACATACAAGTACCCTTTTCGTAGTGGCCCTGTCCTTTTTACCATTTTAATCATGACATTTTACAGAAAGGACAAATATATGTATCGATAAAGGGAAATCATCAGAGATTAATTTCTTTTCAATTTTAAATTATAAATTTAACATGAAATAAAACGGTGTTTGCTTTTTGAAATAAAAATACACATCTGAATAGGAATAGAAAAATTATTCGTGTGTCAAATGCAATAACGATGGGAAAATGTCATATTTAATGCAAGTAGCATTTACAGACAAGTTGTTAGACCCTTTTCTTTCTTTTGATGTTTGATTATGATATATGTGTGTGTTAATAATGTGAAAACAAACAAACAACAAAAACATGACTGCAATACCCAACCTTTTTAAAAAGAAATTTATTTAAAATTATCACTTCCTGAATTTAGTCAAACAAACGCATGTCAGCCTATAAATGAGGGAATTTAAATCCACTCCCTGTCGTATGCGTTCATGCAAGTCCTTCTTTTGTTCAGTTAATGCGTTTGAAAATTCAATACAGCATGGAGACCTGGAGTGTGATTTTTGGTCTGTTGATGTCATTTTACCTTATTAATTATGTGCAAGGACAAGTTATATCGAAAAGGATTCTTCAAATTTTAGAACGAACTACAGGGTTTTCTAAGGTTAGTCATGCATCGCCTTTGAAAGATTTTTTTTTTATATTACTAGGTTCATTTGTAGTTTAAGAAATTGCGCACTTATACATTTCAATATATGATGCATGTAAATGTTTAAATTTAGCTGTAATGGACAAAAATATATCAATTGTATATAACTGAAAGATAATCTTTAATTATATAAAAGTAACTGAAAAAAATTTATTATATCTTTATGTACATGTATGATGAAAAATAGGAACAATCCATATATAAATATATACATGGTTATACATCTTAGCTATTATAATAATATTCAATATAAAACAACAGATTTTTCTTGCTAGGAAATACACAAGAGATTCGAAAGGTCAAATACACAACTATATTTCTATGCCCCCGTAAACGAAGTTTCGGGGATATATAGTTTTTGTCGTGTCCGTCCGTCTATCTGTCTGTTTCTCTGTTTGAAAAAACTTTAACCTTGTCCATAACTTTTGATTTATTGGAGCTATGACTTTCATATTACACATGTATATTTCTTGTGGTAAGACCTTGCTTTGGGTACCACCAAATTTGACCGTTTGACCTTAGAGTTTGACCTACTTTTAAACAAAAATTCCAAACTTTTAATTTTGCCATATCTTTTGAACAGTAGATACTAGAACATTTATACTTCAAATGTATATTCTTTGTTGAAAGACGTTTCATCGGATACCAACAACCTTGACCTTTTTAGCTTGACCTTGGAGATTTCTGTTCTTATGAAAAAACTTTAATCTTGGCCATATCTTTTGAATGATTTGGGTTACGGCGTTAATACTTCACATATATAATCCAGGTTCAAGCCCATTCATTGGATACCAAGGACCTTGAACCTTTGACCTTTGAGTTTGACATACTTTTAAAAAACAAACCTTGACCATAACTTTTAAAGAGTCTGGGCCAGTGCTTTTATACTTTACATATTTATACCTTTTGACAAGACCACAGGAGTTCGCGTACCTATCAATTATACCGAAATTTTCATTAAATAAAAAAATACGTATTACGTATAATAATCACACAAGGAGTGCAACCCTTGTCCGCGACGCCATGACGTGACGTCACGAGCGGACCATTTACCCAAAAGGAAAAAAAACAATCATATATTATTAATTAGAGATAACGATATTAATTACGTTAAGATAGGGGTTAAAGTAATTGTACCTCCCCCTTTTAAATTTTCTTGAATATCTACTAACTTGTCTCTGGTTTCTTTTCGCATATGACCTCAATCATCTAAATTAGCATTTCAGGCAGTTTTGTTCCTTTTGGGGTAAATGGACGCACCCGTGACATCACGTCATGGGGTCGCGGACAACGGATATTTGAGGAGAAATGTCACCGCTGCTGCTGTAAAACATGCTTATGAAATCATTTGCATTAAGAGGAATACAGAATTGTCCCTTTTAAAAAGATTGGTTTGTGTTTTATAATTTTCGATTAAAGATAAATTGTGCGACAGCCTTGATATTAAGCGAGGGGTTCCCAGGTGACCTAAAATGCGTTGCACTCCTTGTGTTTTTATTATACGTATTTCGTATTTTTTTTTATTTAATAAAAATTTCGGTATAATTGATAGGTACGCAACCTCCTGTGACAAGATCGACCTTTAATGTGATAGCAAGACCTATGTCCTTGTCGTTGGACTGTTTTAAAAAATTTAACCTTGGCCATAATTCCTGAACGGTTAGGGCCTCCATACTTTACGTATGTATTCTTATGGCAAGACCTTTCTTTGGATACCAACTACCTTGACCTTTTGACCTTGTTGATTTTAATACTTTTGAAAAAACTTTAACCTTGGCCATAACTTTTGAACGTTAATGATCTCATACTTCTCTTATGTTATCCTTGTGATACTGCCCTTCATTAAATACCAAGAAATTTGATCTTGACCTTCGAGTTTGACTTTGACTAGCAAACCTTGAACATTACTTTTAAAGGGTTAGGGCTAGTGTTTTCCTACTTTGTATATTAAACTTTGTTACAAGACTTTTCATTTGATAGCAAGACCTTTGACTTTTACCTTGGAGTTTGACCTAATTTTAAAAAATATTAACCTTGGTCATAATTTCTGAACGGTAAGGGCTAGGGCTTCAAAACTTTACATATGTATTTCTTGGCAACGCCTTGCATTGGCTATCAATAACCTTGACCTTGAGGATTTATGTACTTCTGAAAAAAATAATACCTTGGCCTTCTTTCGAATTTTTTCACAATATTATTTCCGGTGAGAATACCCTACTTTTGGTACATGTACCAATATATCTAATTTGCATTGAAGAAAAGTTTTTTCTTTGCTATTTTGCCATTCGGTAGCATAAGTGTTTCACAAACACGTCTTGTTTTTAGCTCTGCTGGTCATAAACCAGAAGAGCTTATGCGATAGTAATGCGTCCTGCGTTCGTCCGTTTGTCTGTATACAATTTTTCAAAATGCTACTCCTCTTAGAGTTTAGGTCTAATTTCAATATAACTTGGCACACAAGTAGACTCCACTAAGATACATAATTCTGTATATCAATTTTTGATTTCGATAAACGGTGTTGCCGTGGTTACTAAAAATAGAAATTTCTGTGAAATTTCTTTCAAAATGCTACTCCTCCTACAGTTTTGGTTTGATTTCAATATAACTTGGCAAACAAGTAGACTAAACTAAGATACATAATTCTTTATATCGGTTTTTGATTTCGATGAACGGTGTTGCTTTGTTTCTAAAAATAGAAATTTCTGTAAATTTGTTTCAAAATGCTACTCCTACTACGGTTTGGGTCTTATTTCAATATAACTTTGCACACAATTTGACTTCACTAAGGTACATAATTCAGTGTATCAATTTTTCACTTCAATGAACGGTGTTGCCACGGTAACTAAAAATAGAAATTTCTGTTAAATACTCTCAAAATGCAACTCCAAATACAGTTCAAGTCTGATTATAATATAATGTGGCATGCAAGTAGACTACACTAAGAACATAAAGAGACTTAATCAAGGATCATTATTCTATTAATTGCTGTTGAAAAGTTTCAATTCCCAACTGCATAAGTATTTTTTCTCTTCCTTTGCTATAAATACAAACCAGTGGAGCTTCAGTCTCCACAGAGACTTCTGGTTTTAAGAGGTACGTAGAGAAAAATCTGTTCAAAAACAGAAATGTCAGTTATTCTCTAATGTAGAAGCATCCTCGGATAGTTTCAAATTCAAGCCAACCTTCCCCCTTACTGATTTGGTTTGTGCTTTTGCGTAGGTGAGCGATATAGCCCATGATCATCTTGTTTATTTAAATCAATAGGGATATTATTTGTAGATTTTCAATATTTGTATTAAATTGAAAATTGCATTGTCGAATAAATGTTATGGACATGACATGAGGAGCGAAAGTTTAGATCATCAAAGTATAATAGTATATAAGTGGTCAGGTAACAAATGTCATACTTTAACAGCAATTAATTTTAATCTTTTACTTAATTTTAATGAACAGCAGCTAAAAGTTAGCATAAGCAAGACATGAACTAGTATTATTTATCTTGTGGATGTATTTTACCGAAAATATAAGAGAAAAAAAAACCCGGACTGTTTCATACGTTGAATTGAGAGTGAAAGAGTCATTAAATTCAAACACTTGCTTATTTAAAAAACATTCAAAATTTTACGGAATTTATATTGGACATCCTTTGTTTTTGAAAAATTATTTTTAAAAAAAACATTTTTTAGAATAGCTTTTGACCAACCAACGAGACCAAGAAACAACATTTTTGTTGATTAACCATCACTTTTGCAGGAAAAAAAGCATCAAAATTCTGTTCAGGGTTCACTATAAGAATATTCCTTGTATTCAGCATAATTAAAATACATGTAGAATGAAAAAATTGCGTTCTTTTGTATTTATCAACAGAATATTTAAATTTGCAGTTTGCACAGCTAGTTCATAGGGCAGAACTAACAGAGTTTTATAACGTTTCGACCAACATGACTGTGTTTGCGTTCAACGACAAAGCTTATTATCAGCTGCCGTACACAGAACGCAATGAGATAGATAGCTACAACGTTACTGAGCTTCAAGACTACCTTAAATATAGTTCAGGTGGGTATTACGGTCACAGTTTAGTTCACAAGGACATTGATCTTGATGTCATTTGAAAGAACTTAATTAGTGGAGTTAGCATACCAAATATGAAGTATATATTTCTCAAGAGTCTAAAGTTACGGCGAAGGCTTAAGTTGACGTTTGACAGACAAATTAACAGCTAGGCAGACAGACTGGGCCAAAATATATGCGCCTCCGATCTATCGATCCGGGCTCATTATATGATGGCGTTCTATGCAGATGTCAACAGGATATACACGTTTAAAGCTTTAATTAAGGACTGTTCAAAGAGGAAATTCCTCTTCGATTTGCAAGCCTAATCAAACACTTTCCCTTATCACAGTGTATCTATACTGTACAGCGTACATGTATACACAAGTGCAAGGAAAATATGAAACATTTGAGAGATACAAGTACAGATCATGAGTATCGATAGTCAAAAAATGTTAATTTCGCCATAAAATGAAACAGTGATAATTGTCATCATTTTTTTTTCACGGCAATATTTAATTGCTTTCAGCAAGAGAAATTATTTAATACAATATTTAATTATCTACATGCATATTTTGTATATATTAACACTATTCAGAATCATTGGTATAAGTTTTACAATGTCGGTTAACTTGACTCTATTGTTGTTGTTTTCAGTCTATGGATATCGCATTACAACATCCTCTCTCCGTGACAATCAGTACGAGCTAAGCATGAGTTCCAATGGCGACAGACTTTATTTTAATCGCATCCAGAGAATATACACGGTAGGTATATTTTTATTTTGCTATTGTTATGATAATAAGCAAACAAATAAAATTAAAGAATGAATATTTTTTGTCAACGTCTTCATAATGACCTTAATAAAATAAAATAATTAACACCCCCCTCTTCCCCTTGTATTTTAGTCAGGCAAGATTTAAGCAAAGCTATTTCTGTTCTGTCTTTACATTTCTTCAGACATCAGGAGTCACTTATGAAACTAAGTATTACGTCAACGGTGTAGAGATTTCGGAGGAATCACGTGACATCTCGGCAACCAATGGAATTGTTCAAGCTCTAAATGGAATCATACGGAAGACAATTCAGAAGACAGTCTATAGGTGGATCCAAGACCCCGAGGATACTACCCGGCAATTTACGTATGTACCTGTTTATTGCATATTACTATTGCAGTGTAATTTGTTATATAAACAGTTTTAATTTTATATTTAATTATATTTAATTTTATATTGGTTATTATGATTTTAAATTTTCTTTTTAAAATATTATTACTTTTATTACATTGAGAGATGTTTTGAAGGTGAAAACGACTCGTAAATAGACATACGGCATTTTGTTATCAGCACCAGGGTATACTCTCGTTACAACTGACTGTTATATTTTCATGGATATCGGCATGAAAAAGCGCCCCGTGTTCGTGCTGGTCTTCTTGCATTAATTTTGTTTTAATTTTATTGCAGTGGTGTTTATCTTTGTTTGTTTTTTTAACTACACTGCATTAGGAGAAATGTTATTTTTGTCGCTACCGAGTGCTGAAAAACATACTTCCCTCTTCACTGGTGACGATTGATTAGACTTTAGGTGGCTAAGCTAGCCCATTTATATAGAGGTCCTCTGAACATATATCGCGAGACTCCGATCGAAAATGACGCATTCTTCTTAAGAATCATGTTTAGCAATTATACATGTAACAAAAATTGTGCCAACTTGAATAATTTACTATCTGCTCTTAATCACGGACGAAATTTTTCTATAAATTGTTTGTGGTGTAGTAGTAATGAGATATTTTGAAACTTTAATCTAGAGAATTTAAAATTGTTAGAAAGCTAAACCAACTCTCCAGTATTGTCAATCTCTGTTCAATGATGTGTGCAGAGTGTAACAATTAAGGTTTATAAACCCTCTGTTTACTCATATAAATTTTTTTTTTAACTTTTATGATTTCCAGAGGAAATGTATATATGCTGAATAGAATACAAACATTTATAGCATGTTTTGGGGGGAAAATTTGACAAAAAAGGCACTTCAATTTGACAAATTTGTAAGGGAATAATAGACATTTGTGTCATTAAGAGTTATCTCTCTTATCAGAGTATCAATGTATCTTAAACACGCCCGGTGAAACGAAAACATGAACAATAACTGAGCCCGTGCCCTGTGTACAAAACAAGTCTAAGTTTCCTTAGACCAATGTAAAAATCAAATTCGTAGTTTCAAAAGTTCAATAATTTCCAGATGATATTTACCCCTCTTACAATTGCGTACACATAATTGTTGGTTTACTTTAATTTGCAAAACTGTGTTCTCTCTAATCTTGAAGCAATATGAGCTGCATTTTAAAAAAATATTTTGCTGTTAAAATATGTCATAATGATAAATTTGTATGTAACTGAAACCTTTATGATCAATTTATTATTTAAAAAAAGCATATAAAAGACTACATGTAGTATACATGCATACAACCCAATACTGTATACCAGGAAATTCTCGCCCCCGTTTTAATTTCGCCCCTTTCATCGTACTCACAGGTGGTTGAATTTAAAACGATGCGAATTCAAAGAATACGGTATTATTTCTTAAACAAAGCAATGACTGGGCGATTTTAAAACGGGGCAAAATTGCTTACAAGGGTGAAAGGGCGAAAATAACACGGGGCGAAATCAACCCTGTATACAACTAGAGGTACTGTGAGCGATGAGCTCACTAAATGATACCCCCCGCCTCCCATATGAATATATTGGCAGTATCCATGTTTTGCTCTGGAAAATCCAAAATATATGTCAGATCAAAAAGTAAAATAGGAGGTGCACAATGGCCATATGTAATAAAGATTCTTTGAAAGTTTCATTAAATTTCCTTCAGTGGTATGAGAGGAGTTGCGGATAAGAGATGGGTACCCCAAAGCGTAACAGACGGACGGACGGACAGACAGACGTACAGACGGACGGAAATTACGATTACTATATACCCTCCCGCTTTTCAAGCGGGGGGTATAATAAACAGTTTTGCATGAAAAGATATTGCGTTTAATTGCAGGATATTCCTAGATTTGATGAGTTACCTTTATACGATGGACAGCTTAAATGAAATTTTCTCATCAGACAATATTACCACCTTGTTTATTCCCAGTGACAGTGCAATGAAAAAAATACCTACCTCCGTGCTGATCAGACTGAAGAACGATCCCTCAGAATTACAACGGGTAAGTACATACATCGACTTATTAGATCCCTCATAATTACAATGGGTTAGTACATACATACACTTATTAGATCCCTCATAATTATAACGGGTAAGTACATCATAAACTTACTAGATCCCACAGAATTATAACGGGTAAGTACATCATAAACTTATTAGATCCCTCAGAATTATAACGGGTAAGTACATCATAAACTTATTAGATCCCTCAGAATTATAACGGGTAAGTACATACATAGACTTATTAGATCCCACAGAATTACAAAGAGGAAATATAAATATATCAAATTCCACAGTATTAAAACGGGTAAATATATAGTTGTCAGATCCCACAGAAATCGAATGAATAAATATAAACCTATCAGATCCTTTAGAACTATAAGGTTAAAATAAATTAACCAAATTCCACGGAATTACAACGTGGAACTATAAACCTAGCCTTTCTCACAAAGTTATGATGGGTAAATGTAACTTTTTTTTTTTAGATTTTATAGAATTTTTGTATGTAAATGTATACTTAGCATATATTGCAGTATTACAATTGGCATTGGGTAAATGTAAACTGATCATATACATATATAAACATACACTTATCTGATGATAACCAGGACGAACAGCAGGTAAAAGTAAATTTACAAAATAATCCGACATTATTACAACGGGTACATAGTAAGTTAACAAATAATCTCACAAAATTACACAGAAAACAAGATGTGTTTTTAAAACACTATGCGCCCGGCGGCAACAAAGTTCAAAAAATCTATTTTTAGCATATTGGTCACAGTCAAGGTCACAAGGTCATTGACCATGGTGTCATTTGAAAGCACTTAATCGGTGGAGTATGCATCCCAAATAGGAAGTCCCTGTCTCCTATGGTTCAAAAGTTATGGCAAAAAGTGTAAAAAGCTATTTTTAGCATATAGGTCACAGTCAAGGTCACAAGATCATTGACCTTGTCGTCCTTTGAAAGGACTTTATTAGTGGAGTATGCATATCAAATATGAAGTCCCTATCTCCTATGGTTAAAAAGTCATGACAGACAGTGGAAAAAGCTATTTTTAGCATATAGGTCACAGACAAGGTCACAAGGTCATTGACCTTGATGTCATTTGAAAGGACTTTATTAGTGGAGTATGCATACCAAATATGAAGTCTCTATCTCTTATTGTTCAAAAGTTATGGCAAAAAGTGTAAAAAGCTATTTTTAGCATATAGGTTACAGTCAAGGTCACAAGATCATTGACCTTGTCGTCCTTTGAAAGGACTTTATTAGTTGAGTATGCATACCAAATATGAAATCCCTATCTCCTTTTGTTAAAAAGTTATGACAAACAGTGGAAAAAGCTATTTTTAGCATATAGGTCACAGTCAAGGTCACAAGGTCATTGACCTTGATGTCATTTGAAAGGACTTTATTAGAGGAGTATGCATACCAAATATGAAGTCTCTATCTCTTACGGTTTAAAAGTTTTGGCGAAGGTTAAAGTTGACAACAGACAGACAGACAAACAGACAACAGACAGGACAAAAACAATATGCGCCCCGAAAAAATTCGGGCGCATAAAAAAAACCACTTTTACGCTTAAAATCCCATGGAATTACATGTACAGTGTACAACAGGAAAAATCATACACAGATCAGAAAAACCAAAAATATACACTAATTATAAAATCCCAAAGAATTGCACTAGATGAATATACACTTTAAACTAGAGGTACTGTGAGCGATGAGCTCACTAAATGATACCCCCCGCCTCCCATATGGTTATAACTGGTGAAAAAGTCCATGTTTTCCTGTGGTCGGGAAACCCAAAATATGTGTCGGATCAAAAAGTAAAATAGGAGGTGTACAAAGGCAATATGTAATAAAGATTCTGTGAAAGTTTCATCAAATTTCATTCATTGGTATGAGAGGAGTTGCGGATAAGAGATGGGTAACAAAGCGTAACAGACGGACGGACGGACGGACGGACAGACAGACGGACAGACGTACAGACGGACGGACGGAATTAACGATTACTATATACCCTCTCGCTTTTCAAGCGGGGGGTATAATAAAGTCTCACAGAATTACACAGGGAAATTTACACTACATTTAATGATAAAACTTCACTTAATATTATGCAATTAGTAAGAATGTAAGTAGTATTCAGAACGAATTGAATAAGAAGAAAACTGAATAATCTATACCATATCTTTCCAAACACTATCTAGGTCAACACGTTTTTGAGAAAAGAAACCGTGCAACTTCATTTCATTTTTTTTTTACACTAAGTATCTCAAAAACTGTAAGAGATAATGGAATTTTAAAAATATTTTGCACATCTATTGCTTGGCACTTCGGCAATTGTCAATAATTATTGCCATGGTTACCGACCTTGTGATCCTTGACCTTGTCCTTTGACCCACTTCAGGCACGTATCAACCGGAGGGGGGGGGGGGGCCTGGCCCCCCACTTTTTTCCCCAACATTACCTTTACTATAGAAAATGTCTATTTAAAAGATGGTTGGCCCCCAACTTTTTACCACAGTATATTAATAGCAAGGTAATATGGGAAAAATTGGAAGTGAAAGGAAGTTGGCATTGAAATAATTTGGCCACTATAACCCCCCCCCCCCCAACTAAATAGGATTTTCGAGTTCGGGTAGTTTTAAATTTTCCGTTTTTAGCTCACCTGAGCCGAAGGCACATTTTCATCTTCTTTCTAAGAACCACTGGGCCAATTTCAACCAAACTTGGAACAAAGTATCCTTGGGTAAAGGGAATTCAAGTTTGTTCAAATGAAGGGCCAGGCCCTTTTCCAAGGGGAGATAATTATGAATAAGAGAAAAAATTAATGGCATTTTTAAAAAATCTTCTTCTCAAGAACCACTGGGCCAGGAAAGATGAAACTCATGTGGATTCATCTTCAGGTAGTGTAGATTCAAGTTTGTTCAAATCATGACCCTCGGGGGTAGGGTGGGGCCAAAATGGCCGATCAAAGTTTTACATAGGAATATATAGAAAAAAAATCTAAAAAAAATCTTCTTCTCAAGAACCACTGGGCCAGGAAAGATGAAACTCATTTGGGATCATCCTCGGGGAGTGTGGATTCAAGTTTGTTCAAATCATGACCCCCGGGGGTAGGGTGTGGCCAAAATGGCCGATCAAAGTTTTACATAGGAATATATAGGAAAAATCTTTAAATCTTCTTTTCAAGAACCTTTGGGACAGGAAAGGTGAAAATCATGTGGAATCTTCCTCAAGTAGTGAAGATTGAAGTTTGTTCAAATCATGACCCCCTGGGGAAGGATAATGGGCCAAAATGGCCGATCAAAGTTTTACAAAGGAATATATAGGAAAAATCTTTAAAAATCTTCTTCTCAAGAACCACTGGGCCAGGAAAGATGAAACTCATGTGGAATCATCCTCAGGTAGTATAGATTCAAGTTTGTTCAAATCATGACCCCCGGGGGTAGGGTGGGGCCAAAATCGCGGATCAAAGTTTTACAAAGGAACATATCGGGAAACCTTTTAAAATCTTCTTTTCAAGTACTTTAAAGCCAGGCCTCGTTATATTTATAGGGAATCATCTTCAGGTAGTGTAGATTCAAGTTATCCAAATCATGACCCCCGGGGGTAGGGTGGGGCCAAAATGGCCGATCAAAGTTTTGCATAGGAATATATAGAAAAAAATCTAAAAAAAATCTTCTTCTCAAGAACCACTGGGCCAGGAAAGATGAAACTCATGTGGATTCATCTTCAGGTAGTGTAGATTCAAGTTTGTTCAAATCATGACCCCCGGGGGTAGGGTGGGGCCAAAATGGCCGATCAAAGTTTTACATAGGAATATATAGAAAAAAATCTAAAAAAAATCTTCTTCTCAAGAACCACTGGGCCAGGAAAGATGAAACTCATGTGGGATCATCCTCAGGGAGTGTAGATTCAAGTTTGTTCAAATCATGACCCCCGGGGGTAGGGTGTGGCCAAAATGGCCGATCAAAGTTTTACATAGGAATATATAGGAAAAATCTTTAAATCTTCTTTTCAAGAACCTTTGGGACAGGAAAGGTGAAAATCATGTGGAATCTTCCTCAAGTAGTGAAGATTGAAGTTTGTTCAAATCATGACCCCCTGGGGAAGGATAATGGGCCAAAATGGCCGATCAAAGTTTTACAAAGGAATATATAGGAAAAATCTTTAAAAATCTTCTTCTCAAGAACCACTGGGCCAGGAAAGATGAAACTCATGTGGAATCATCCTCAGGTAGTATAGATTCAAGTTTGTTCAAATCATGACCCCCGGGGGTAGGGTGGGGCCAAAATCGCGGATCAAAGTTTTACAAAGGAACATATCGGGAAACCTTTTAAAATCTTCTTTTCAAGTACTTTAAAGCCAGGCCTCGTTATATTTATAGGGAATCATCTTCAGGTAGTGTAGATTCAAGTTTGTTCAAATCATGACCCCCTGGGGGAGGGGGTGTAAAATTCAAGTGCCCCCCCCCTACCCCCCGCCCAGTTTACTTTCAGTTCTGATCTGATCTGTGTTTTTTCCTAGCCAGTTGCTCAGGTGAGCGATGTGGCCCCTGGGCCTCTTGATTTTTTTTTTTGCTTGTCAACTTTTTTTGAGTAAGTAAAAATATTTTTCTCAGGTTGCCCCCCCCCCCACTTTCAAAAACGATGCTACGTGCCTGCACTTTATTAAAAAGTTAAAAGTGCTTATATACAGCATACATTTTTTTTAAATTCAGGTCATTCAAGCTCATTATTTACGTCACCGGGCAATTTTCACCAACTGTATTCCTCACAATGAGAGTTTTACTGATGCCAACGATCAACCATTGACATTTCGCAAATCAGGTGACAATGGTAAGTTAAAGATTCTTTTTGTTGTGAATTTTTGTTTTGTCAAATTCCACAAGGTAACACCAAAACCTATTTATTTTATTCTCTGATTTTGAAAATCAATCCCCCCACTTGACAAATAATCAGTATACCTTTTACTAATAACAATCTGTTTTCGTATTTTGAATAATTTTTTTAAGCTCACCTGCGCCGAAGGCTCAAGTGAGTTTTTTTTGGTCAAAATTTGTCCGTCGTCTGTCGTCTTTGTCGTAAACTTTTAACATTTTCATCTTCTTCTCAAGATCCGCTAAGCCAGTTTCATTCAAACTTGCCACAAAATACCCTTGGATGAAGGGGAAACAAGTTTGTTCAAATGAAGGGCCACGCACTTTTTAAAGGGGAGACTATTATGAATTAGAGAAAAATTAATGGCATTTTTAAAAAAAATCTTCTTCTCAAGAACAACTGGGCTGGGAAAGATGAAACTCATATGGATTCATCCTGAGGTAGTGTAGATTCAAGTTTGTTCAAATCATGACCCCCAGGGGTAGGGTGGGGCCAAATCGCCGATCAAAGTTTAACATTGGTATATAAAGGCAAAATCTTTAAAAATCTTCTTTTCCTGAACCACTGGACCCTGACCAGGAAAGATGAAACTCATGTGGAATCATCCTCAGGTAATGTAGATTCAGGTTTGTTCAAATCATGACCCCAGGGGTAGGGTGGGTCCAAAATGGCCGATCAAAGTTTTACATAGGAATATAAAGGAAAAAATCTTTAAATAATCTTCTTTTCCAGAACCACAGGGCCAGAAAAGATGAAATTCATGTGGAATCATCCTCAGTTAGTGTAGATTCAAATTTGTTCAAAGCATGTCCCAAAGGGTAGGGTTGGGTCAAAATGGATGAGCAAAGTTTAACATAGGAATATATATAGGGCAACCTTTTAAAATCTTCTTTTCAAGTATTTCAAAGCCACGATTAGTAATATTTACATGGATTCATCCTCAGGTAGTGTAGATTCTATTTGGTTCAAATTGTGATCCCCTGGGGGGGGGGGGGGTAAATTCAAGCCCCCCCCCCCACCTCAGTAAACTCTTTGTTCTGATCTGATATGTGATTTTACCTAGAACGTTTGCTCAGGTGAGCGCTGTGGCCCCTGGGCCTCTTGTTTGTTATGAAAAGTTTAAAAAGAGTTCTATCCATACATTTCTTGATATATACGAGGGTTGTCCGTAAAGTTCGTGGACAAGCTCAAATTTAAAGAAAGATGGTGTCATTGATATTTATTATTAACATATTTATAATCCTTTCTAAATATCAATTACAAAATGTAAAATAATATTCAATTTCAAACAAATATTTATAATGATGGCTTCATTATTAGACTTGGGATGGTGACCCGGAGCACCGCAAAATTTTAATTAAAAAAGTTACCTATCACTTTATAAATTTCATTTGTATTTTTCAAAATTCTGCGGAAATTCGGATTGCTTTTACATTACGGGGTTGACAAATGTTATAACTACAAACCTGCAAAAACTGAACGTTCAGAGTTCAGAAGTGGCTGAGAAATCTAGGTTAGAATCTATTAAGGCAGGATCGGCTTTGTTCAAAAAAGAGACGTTTTCGGAATAGGCGGAGCAGTGAGCAGTGATAAAATTCTGTGAAGACATCGGAAAAAAACTAACAGAGACCCTGAAATGCTGTAATCATTCGGGAAAATATAGTTTAGAAAGCCGTTCTTATGTATTTAGTTGAAAATAAAATTTTCAGACGGAAGGAACAGTTTACAGGATGACATGCGTGAAGAAAGACCATCATTCTGAGATTGCGGTGCTGTAAAGAGTTAATTTTGTAACGTAATTTTGCCGTATTTCCTTAAATATAGTCGTTTTTAGTGGGCAGAGGTAGGATGATTGCAGGTAATGAGACAGACATTGTTAAATATTATTTTACGTATGAAACCTGAACATTCTTTGTTGAAAAAAGTTACATGTACTCGTATTCAGCTTTTGACGTCAGGTAACGTCAAGGATTTTCGATTAAGTGCTCCGGGAATGAGTTTGTGTCTTTTTGTATCTGATAAAAATATAACTATTTGTGCTTTGTTTTTGTTGAAAACTTCCATAATAACAAAACGAAACATGAATTTAGTGAAAATGATAGTTTTAAATATTTTTTCAATGTTTGTCAGTAATTATCAATGTTGTCCACGTACTTTACGGACAACCCTCGTATATGAAAGATTACATAAGTACTATTATTTCATCAACATAATTATGAGGATTTCACCTGCAGATCACTATTAAAAAAGCAAAACTCTACATTTTGTCAACGTGTAATGGATAAATGTTAAATAAGATATTTGATTGGCATATAAGATTGTGATTTATTGAAAATTATATCCGTTTCCTGTGGTTTTATTCTTTATTTCATATCAATTTTGATTCCTTTGTGATATCTACTGCTATTGTTTACCTTCCTTAAGAAGGCTTGGGGGGGGGGGGGTTTCAACAAATTAACCACCAAATAAAACTTAATTTTCTAGATATGATATTTTAAGCTGTCAACTATCATTACGCAACAAAAATTTAATATACATCTGATTGAAGTTTTGAAATTCGATTATTTTTTATATATCTTGATATCAAGCTCTTCTTCTAAAGGAGGCCAGTATAGTTTAAAATGGACACAACGCCCCAGCCCTCTTAATTATGCCTTTTGTTTGATTTCAGTATATGTTTACAGTGGTGGTTCGGGGGCGGCTATTATGGAGGGTAATATAACGTTGTCTAACGGCGTGGTTCATGTCGTGGATCAGTTGCTGGGACTCGTGTACAACACCATTCGTGACCAAATTCAAAAAGAATCCATGTAAAATTTCTGTATTTTAGGCCGTCTTTAGAAAGCTTAGAATGCTTGTCCTCACCCGACTCAGAGTAATATTATTGAATCGGTGTTTAGTAATTTAAAAGAAAAAAATTCTTTCCAGAACATTTTAAAACATTTGTAGAGAGGGTAAAAGGAATAAAAATATTGTGTCAGGGTTTCTCTGAAAACAGTATTGAATTCGGTATTTTAGCTCTTCTGAGCTAAAGGCTCAAAGAGGTTATGCTTTGGCAATTTGTGCGATGTGCGTAAACCTGTTAGAATGTTGGCCAAAACTCAAGAACTCGCCAATCAATGTCAAATTTGTTACAGGGTATAATCCTTGGCCCAAGGCCTACCATTTATACTAAAACTAGGGTTGGAACCCTAGACCTTAAAGAAGGGGAGATTAACAGGAATATAAAACCAAAAGTACTGGTAACTTAAAAATTTTCTTCACAAAAACCACCAGGCAGATTTTAACAAATCAAACATACAAGGATCAGGATATATTGAAAATTAAAATTTTACGGGGAATTACTCTGGGGCAAAGGGCCTGGTCTCCAGGTCACGTCAAAGTTGACCAAAATTTACACTTAATAAAAACGTTTTTTTTTTGCTCACTATAATGACTAGGATCATTTAATCTTGTAAGTTGATGCATCTTAGGACTTGTTAACTCAAAAGTAGGTCACGGTGACTTTTTTTTTTATTTTGCGGACATTTGATTTCAAATTGATTTTAGGGCAAATTTTAGACACTTTAAGGTTGATGATCATCAAACTTTGTCAGTTGATGCATCTTGGGTCCTCGAACAAGGTAAATTTAAAAGTAGGTCACCCTGATCTACTTTTTGAATTTTTTCTCTTATCTTTTTTCGAAAACATTTGATCACATTATATCAGACATTGAGAGGTTTAGAATAATCAAATTTAGCAAGTTGATGTATCTTGGGACCTTGAACATATTTATGAAAAATTAGGTCACTGTGATCTACTTTTTGAATTCTGAAGGCATTAATTAATTTTCAAATTGTTTTAAAGGCATATTTTGCATACTTTCAGACCTATGATCATTTAACTTGATTTTGATGCATTTTTGGTATGAAAAGGTCAACCAAAATGTAGGTCATGGTGACCTACTTTTGACATTTTATGGATATATTTTAGTATTTCAGGTACTTATTGATTTAGAATCATCAAACTTTGTCAGTTGATGCATCTTTGGTTTTCGGAGATCTTTGACCAAAAGGTAGGTCACGGTGATCTATTATTGAATTTTGAGGCTGTATTTTAGTATCTCTGGTACTTACTGAATAAGAATCATCACACTTAATCAGTTTTGGCATCTTGGATTTTCGGAGAATATCAACCAAAAAGTAGGTCACTGTTACCTACTTTTGACATTTTATGGCTAAATTTAAGTATCTCGGGTTCTTATTGACTTTGAATCATCAAACTTTGTCAGTTGAGGCATCTACTTTTTGAATATCGCAGGTACTTACTGACTTAGAATCATCAAATAAGGCATCTTGGGTTTTCGGAGAACTTCGACCAAAAAGTAGGTCACCGTGACCTACCATTGACATTTCATGGCTAAATATAAGTATCTCTGGTGCTTACTGAATTCGAATCAACAAACTTTGTCTGATGAGGCATCTTGGACCTTAGGAAAATGTTGACCAAGATGTAGGTCACAGTTACTTACTCTTGAAAATCTCAGTTACTTATTGGCTTAGAATCATCAAACTTTGCTAGTTTAGGCATCTTGGGTTTTCGGAGAATGTCAACCAAGAAGTTGGTTACGGTGACTACATTTGACATTTTAAGGCTAAATTTAAGTATCTCGGGTTCTTATTGACTTTGAATCATCAAACTTTGTCAGTTGAGGCATCTACTTTTGAATATCGCAGGTACTTACTGACTTAGAATCATCAAATAAGGCATCTTGGGTTTTCGGAGAACTTCGACCAAAAAGTAGGTCACCGTGACCTACCATTGACATTTCATGGCTAAATATAAGTATCTCTGGTGCTTACTGAATTCGAATCAACAAACTTTGTCTGATGAGGCATCTTGGGTCTTAGGAAAATGTTGACCAAGATGTAGGTCACAGTTACTTACTCTTGAAAATCTCAATTACTTATTAGCTTAGAATCATCAATCTTTGCTAGTTTAGGCATCTTGGGTTTTCGGAGAATGTCAACCAAGAAGTTGGTCACGGTGACCTACATTTGACATTTTAAGGCTATATTAAAGTATCTCGGATACTTATTGGCTTGGAATCATCAAACTTTGTCAATTGAGGCATCTTGGGTTTTCGGAGAACATCGACCAAAAAGTAAGTCATAGTGACCTACTTTTTAATAACTCAAGACACCATTGTCTTAGAATCATCAATCTTTGTCCATTAATGCATCTTGAGGCCTCAGAAAATTTTAATCTAAAAGTAGGTCACTGCGACCTAAGAATTATCAAACTTTGTCAGTTGACGCGTTTTGGGTCTTATGATAGAGCTGGAGGCTTCAAATAGATTGATTGATTGTATACTGTTTAACGTCCCTCTCCAGAGTATTTCACTGATATAGAGACGTCACCATTGCCGGTGAAGGGCTGCAAATTTAGGCCTATGCTCGGCACTCAGGGCCATTGAGCAGGGAGGGATCTTTATCGTGCCACACCTACTGTGACACGGGGCCTCAGTTTATACGGTCTCATCCGAAGGACCGCCCCATTTAGTCGCCTTTTACGACAAGCAAGGGGTACTGAGGACCTATTCTAACCCGGATCCCCACGGGATGGCTTCAAATAGAAGTGATAGGTTGTACAATTTATCAGAAGAGCGATTCAAGGCCCCTGGGCCTCTTGTTTAATCAGTCGATCAGGAGAGGGCAACCAAACCGTTAAAGATGACCTTATGTATATTAATCCAAGTGTCGAAATAAGATTGCACAGGGAACCTTCTTTCTCCAAACATTTTATTGGTATAAATGACAACATTAACAGATATTTTTTTAAATAATGTTTATCTGAGAAATAATGTATATTTCACTATTATGAACCTCAAAGCTTGTGTTTAAACAGGTCGAGACCACTACCTTATATGGAAGGCAATTTTCAACACGTGACGATGTCTTCGTCACGCCCGTTCTCCAATCAACTGAAAGAGTCCCAAAGCATAACAGTCCACCGCGTGTTTACGATTCAATGGCTACACGTGGTTTTCGTCGGTTTACTGCACAAAATTTAACTCGTCACCGGAAAAACTGTAGAGCTTCTTTATAACTTTATTAGACCGAAATTGAAAGATTATATTCTAAAGACACTGCTCCATGCTCACATTTAATATTGGAGTTGTTTTAGATGATTAACAGTTGCTTCGAATATCGTACAAACGCTTTGACTTTTGCATATACATAAAACACTTTCTGATAATATTGAGGGGTTAAATAATAATTGCACACTTTCTCCTGCTGTCTAAAAACAAGGACCTATATACTACCTGCGAAAGCTATGTACACGTTTATCACGTGAAAAAAAACCTCAATATTTTATCGACACGATAGCACTTATACGTCTCTTTCAACAATGGTATACTAGGCCGATGTATTATAAGTTGATATAAGGCTTCATAAAGCAAATTTTGCAAATGTGAGCATAGAAATGAAAGATTATACACCATTTTAAATATTTACTTCACAAATTTAAAAAAAGAATTGAAAATAAGTTTCCAAGGGGCAGTTCAAGTTGGCTTTAATTTTCAACACAGCTAGGTACTTGTAGTAGCCCACAATGCATTGTGGCTCATTCAGCAGTAGGTAAAGTAAACATACTAGCTAATTTACTTGCAAATTTATTCTGACGTCAGAAAATCTAGTGGTCTCGACCTGTTAAAGCCAATGCCTAGCTATGATCACCTGATGTTTTGTGTTAAATCTGTATTAGTCAAGGCGTTTTATCGACATGTCTATGTCAGTGTCTACTTAATTGAAATAGTAACAGGTTCATGATTTGGGTCAACTTTCAGAGGACTGTTGCCCCGGTGTACATGAAACTGAATTATAATTATCACATTTACAGTATAAAAGTTAACCACTGAATTGAAAATTGAAAGAATTAAATCCAAACAGACAAGGCATTATATTATCAGAATTACATGGAGACAAGAGAATCTGATTTGCCATAATTTGTAGTGTTAATTTAAAACAGTTCTGCCGTGAAATTCAAAGTCCCGCGCTATCAACACATCTTTCACAAATCAACGTGTTATAGACATTGTGTTTTTTAAATAAATTGTTATTTTTTTTTTTTTAGGAAATTTGATCAATTAATAAATTTAGGCACAGAAAAAATAAGGAGTGCCTTTGTTCAGCCTTCGGGGGTAACCGTCTTCGCGCCTTTTGACAACGCCTTCCAAAAAATTGCGAACATACCCTGGGCAAATCTTACCTATAACCAGACATTAGCGGACATGGTAACTATATCTACCACAGTTGTATTATTCTAAGATGAATAAAATCTTAATTTTTATGCTCAACCTCAAACATTTTTTACATGCAAAAATTATTTAAATATTTTAAAAATGGGGAATAACTGTTTTTATTTTTTTGGGGGGGAGGGGGGGGGGAAATTGAGTTGTTGCCATTTGCAACAAAATGTGCTGTTTCCAGAAGATTTTCATGAAAACATTTTTAGTCCTGAAAAATACTTAAAGAAAAATTACAGTTTTGTTTCGAATGATAAAATAGTAAAAAATTCAGATTTCTTTGGCACCGTTCTTTCTGACAAAAATAACTACTACCAGAATTTTAAAGAAAAATTTTCATGCAAGTAACTCTGAAAATATAGGTTGGAAAAATTCATAGATGTTTTTAGCCAGCCTGTGTGGATTAGGAAGATTTCACTAGAACCAGATCATTATAGCAACGGGGCTGTGTAGCAACACTTGTTATAGCGTCGGATCAGTATTAGCAATGTATCATCATGATACTGGATCTTTAAAGCAATAGATAATTGTGACTATGGATCATTATAGAACCTGATCATTATAGCAACTCATCAACTTGTAGAATCTGGTCCATTTTATGTAGCATCGATTTTAAAAGGGGAGGGGCAATCCTACCTAAAAAAAATTGACAAGCCAAAAAAAAGTCAAGCTCCTTAATCCTATTTGGGGGGTGGGGGGTGGAGGTAGGTTGGACTTCTCTTGGTGCCAAATTTACACATATAATATTACGTTACCTTTATTTGATATTATACTGTAACTATGAGTTGGGGGGGGGGGGGGGGGGCAACCAGCCCTCTGTTAACATGTACCTGTGATATAGCAGTTTTCGGTAGTTAATTTTATTGTGTTTTTTCCAGGTTATTCGACTGCATATTTTGATGCTCAACAACACAGTAAGAATTGCTTCTTTTCCAGCAATGAGCGGATACGATAGTCGTCAATACAGACAAACCATGTATAAAAACGAAAGAGTCATCATCTATAATGACAGAGATGGTAAATACCGTATGAGCAGAATTTTTAGCGAGGATTTAATTTTGGCATTTTTAGCGAGGATGCCAAGGTCGCTAAAATTGTATATCGCTAAAATTAATTACACTTTATTTGCAAAAGCTTCTTTAGAGAGCTTTTTTAAATCGCTTAAAACATTTCGCTAAAGATGAAATACCTATTTTTAAGGACAAATCGCTAAATTTGCGTCTCGCTAAAATGTCCACTTATATGGTGGTTGTGTGTAGGTTTAGATAAATAAGGCATATGAAAAAAAATCCCTTTTACCCAGAAAAAAACTGGTTTAATTTTAGATATAACATTTAGAATGATTTCTCTCTTCTGTATCTATTTCTTTACATGGAAACCTATTGTACAGCCATTGTAAAAAAAATACGGAATTTTTTTTCAGTTCTTTTAAAGTTTCATTTTTCATTTTATTTTGTAATATTATAATTATTGTGTCTGCTTTATTTTGAATGTTAGCAGTCTTCTAAGCGAATTCAATAAGGAGAATACTGCATGATATATTCCTTATCTTTCCAAAACCTTTAATTGATAATACTTTTTTGAGAGGAGAAACCGTGCAACGTATTAAGTACAATTTCTTTTCTAGAGACATGGGTACACGGTGGTAACGTGAAAGCTCGCATAATCAGGCCGGATATAGAGACGGTAAACGGTTTGGTCCATATCATCGACTCCGTACTGGGCATTCCCTACCTGGATCTTCCCATGTTGATCTGTCATGATATCTGGTTGTTGTAAGTGCTGCTAATTGATATTCATACACATTTTAATGATCATCAGATGTAACTTTATTCCTGGGCAAATGACAAAAAATATGACGCCTCCAATGACAAGTTTTGTTGATATCATTGTCTTTCACAATCTTTAGCTAAGGGAATAAATTTATTTCATAAATTGCAGGCGCACATACGACTTTATGATAAGAGTTGGACTAAAGAACTACCTGACAGACCGTAGATTCACAGCAGAGACGTGCAGTTTTGAAAAATCCGGCTATCCCTTTAATTACGTATCAGCCGTGCATACTAACCAGGACACGACCTGCCCTATGTACTGTAGCCTGGCCCCGTATCAGAATCAATACCCCTGTAACTCTGCCCTATGTCAGCCCAGCCTCTGCCCCACATACTGTGCCCAGGAAATTTACCAAAATCAGTACCCCTGTAAAACAGCCATGTGTATACTTCCGGGGTCTAACTGCCCCACCTACTGTTCGCAGCCCGATTACGCTAATATCCATCAATGTCTTATGAATTGTAACATGACCTCAGCAACCCAGTGTCAGTATGTCGTGTACTGTAGAGACCCCAGCAATGCCAACAAAGCTCCGTGCAATACGTATCCGTGCAACATGTTAAACACAGGGACACAGAGTGGTGCAGATTACGACATGGGATGTTGCGGAACTAGCAGAGTTGCATGTGAATTCACGGTCTTCGTTCCCAATTCTAGTGCTGTAGACTATTTTTCACTGTCGCTTAATGGCTTCAGGGTCATGATAGACACACCACGATTTCAGTATGTAAGTGAAGATAAAAGATGCTCATTGAACGGAAGTGAATTATTTTTTTATTATCAAAAAAGGGAGATGAATAATATGAGAGTTTTCAGAAATAAAAAAGATAATTTTAATGTAAAGTTCATTTGTATAAGGGGTAACAACCTAAACAATTAATAAAGGAGAATCCATTCTCTGTTAAGTCGATATCTCAGGGTTGAAAAATGTTTTTAAAATTTTAAAACGTCAATTATAATGTATTTATGTTGATGCTTAAAAAAAGAAGTAGGTCAAAGAAATGAATTTCATTCAATCTTCCATTTAAAAATCATAATCTAGTATTTGGTCAAAAAATACAGTATTAAAAAAGTATCTACTCTTTGTAAAAAAAATGAAATAAATCTTCAAGTTTCTTGCAACTCTTCCCTTTTTGCTGATCTATGGTTAATAAGCATGCAACTTAAAGAAAAGAATTTTGATCTCTATATTAATAATCGTTATATATTTATCCAGGAGAGTGTTAATAAATGATGTTTAATATTTTTAATTTTGTTTTCAGTTGTTTAAGCGGCTCATTGCTCCTGGTAGAATTTACTTAGAGAAGCTTACAAATGGTAACCACCAGATAAAAATGCTAAACGGCGAGACAATAAATGTCTCTAAAGCAAACGACAGAGGTAATTACAGTTTGTTTTCTTGGTAATTACAGTTTCTTGTTCTTGTAATTAGATTGTTGTCTTGGTAATAACAGTTTTTATCCTTGAAATTACAATTTGTTGTCTCAATAATTACAGTTTCTTGTCCTTGTAATTAGTTTGTTGTCTCGGTAATTACAGTCTAGTATTTTAAGCTTGGTAATTATAATCTGAGTAATGTTAGTATTGTTATCTCTGTTATAACTTATTTGTTATTTTGTAATAACAATTACGTAATGTTATCTAGGTAACTACACTCCAGTAATGTAATTTTGGTAATTACACTTCAGTAATGTTATCTAGGTAATTACACTCCAGTATTGTAACTTAGGTAATAACACTCCATTAATGTTTTCTAGGTAATTACACTCGAGTAATGTTATCCAGGAAATTATATACCAGTAATATTATGTAGGTAATTATACTCCAGTAATGTTATCCAGGTAATTACACTTCAGTAATGTTTTCTGATTTATTACACTCCAATAATAATATCCAGCTAATTACACTCCAGTAATGTTTTCTGAGTAATTACACTCCAGCAATGTTATCTAGGTAATTACACTCCAATAATATTTTCTTGATAATTACACTCCAGTAATGTTATCTAGGTAATTTCACCCCAGTAATGTTTTCTATGTTATTACACTCCAGTAATATAATCTAGGTTATTACACTTCAGTAATGTTATCTAGGTAATCACACTCCACTATTGGTATCCAGATAATTACACTCCAGTAATGTTATCCAGGTAATTACATTCCAGTAATATTATATAGGTAATTGCACTTCAGTAATGTTATCTAGGTAATTACACTCCAGTATTGTAATTAAGGTAAAACACTCCAGTAATGTTATCCAGGTAATTACATACCAGTGTTTTCTGATTTATTACACTCCAATTATAAAATCCAGCTAATTACACTCCAGTAATGTTTTCCGAGTAATTACACTCCAGCAATGTTATCTAAGTATTTACACTCCAATAATATTTTCTTGATAATTACACTCCAGTAATGTTATCTAGGTAATAACACCCCAGTAATGTTTTCTAGGTAATTACACTCCAGTAATATTATCTAGGTTATTACACTTCAGTAATGTTATCTAGGTAATTACACTCCAGTATTGTTTTCTAGATAATTACATTTCCAATAATATATAGGTAATTACTCTCCAGTAATGTTATCTTGGTAATTACAATCCAGTTATGTTATCTAGGTAATTACACTCCAGTTATGTTTTCTATGTAATTACACTCCAGTAATGTTTTCTAGATAATTACACTCCAGCAATATTATCTAGGTAATTACATTCCAGTTATGTTATCTAGGTTATAACACTCCAGTAATGTTTTCTGAGTAATTACACTCCAGTAATGTTTTCTGAGTAATTACACACCAGTAATGTTATTTAAACTCTAATAATATTATCTACTAATTACACTCCAGTAAAGTTTTCTAGGTAATTACACTCCAGTAATGTAATCTAGGTAACTACACTCCGGTTATGTTTTCTATGTAATTACACTCCAGTAATGTTTTCTAGATACTTACACTCAAGCAATATTATCTAGATAATTACACTCCAGTTATGTTTCTAGGTAATTACACTCCATTTATGTGTCTAGGTAATTACACTCCAGTAATTTTATCTAGGTAATTATACTCCAGTAATGTTATATTGGGAATTAAAGTCTAGTATTGTTATCTTGGTCATCACAGTCTAGTTTTGTTATCTTGATAATAACAATTTAGTTTAATATTTCGGTAATTATATTCTAGTTTTGGTGTCTCTAATAGTGACGTCTATCATTGTACCTCAGTAATTACATGTTATGTTGGTAATTACAATGTAAAGTCAAATTACGTTATCTAGTATTGATTTCTCGGATTGTAATCTTAGCAAATGCAATCAAACCATGTTATCTACGTAAATACAGTAAAACCATTTTTTTTCTCTATAATTACAATTACCTTTGGTAATTATCTCGGCAATTACAGTCTAATATCGTTATATCGGTAATTAGTCAGAAAGTTTTATCTCAGTTATTACGGTTTAGAACATATATGGTCATATCGGTAAATACGGTCGTTTCTTGTTGTCTGTCTGCATTATCATATTATTAATTACAATTTAGAATTGTAATTTCGGTCATCAGTTAAGTTTTGTTATCTTGGTAAATACAATTAAGTAATGTTATCCTGGTAATAAGACTCTGGTTTTGTTATCTTTGTAATTGCAATTTAGGATTGTTATCTCGATTACTTCACTGTTGTACTATTTTTTCAGTAATTAAAGTCGAACCATTTTTGTGACATAACCATGGCGTTAACAATATAATGTGGCTCATTAAATCCACTTCACATTTTTTTCTCTATCAGGATGTGAGAAATCAAAGCATGTATAAACAAAGGGGGAAAATGTAAATAAAAGGTTTTGGAACTGAATTACAGTTCAAAATGACTTTGAATTCTTTTTTTCGGAAGAGGAGAGCAAATGTATATAGTAGTGTAAGATACATGTATATGACATCCTACTAGCTTGGGCTCAATTCGTAGAACACTGAACTGGCATGCCAGAGTCCCGGGCTCAATCCTTAGCTGAGGTACAAAATTGTCTTAGTTATATAATGACCTTGTGTGTCTGAGTTACATGTAGTTATAAGATGACCTTGTGTGTCTGAATTAGTTTTATAATGGCCTTGAGTGTCTGAGTAAGTTACATAATGACCTTGTGTGCCTGACTTAGTTATATAATGACCTTGTGCGTCTGACTTAGTTATATAATGACCTTGTGTGTCTGACTTAGTTATATAATGACCTTGTGTGTCGTAGCTATATAGTGACCTTGTGTGTCTGACTTAGTTATATTATGACCTTGTATGTCTGACTTAGTTATATAATAACCTTGTGTGTCTGACTTATTTATATAATGACCTTGTGTGTCTTAGTTATATAAAGTCCTTGTGTGTCTGAGTTAGTTATTTTATGTCTTTATGTGTCTGAGTTAGTTATATAATGACCTTGTGTGTCTGACATAGTTATATAATGACCATGTGTGTCTGACGTAGTTATATAATGACATTGTGTGTCTGATTTAGTTATGTAATGACCTTGTGTGTCTGACTGGCACATAGAATGTATGGGAGTGTAACATACTTAAGCAATAAACAAACTGACATCTTTTTAGATGTACGGATTTACTTTGGAGATGCATCAGCGAATGTTTTGTATATGGACGAAGGAGCTACTAATGGAGTCATGCATATAATTGACCAGTTGCTGTTCGTTCAGGAAGATATTACGAGACACATTTCACCTCCAAGTAATAACTGAGTTTCAGATTGACAATATCTATGGGATTTTAGAAGACCACTTTTTATTTATATCTACTGCACACATGTATCTTAGCCACGTTTTTAAATGTAAACAACATTCCGTGCCATCGAGTCCAAGTGCTTTATTGAACCCTAATGCAACCAAAGAACACATTAAAGAGAGAACAATTTTAAGATTTTATATACGAGAAAATCAATAGTTATTATTTATTTAAACATAAAAATGTTGCAGTTTGTTACAAATTTCTGCCAATATCGGTAAATAGTTCATGACGTAAAACCTAATTATGATTTTTTGACCTGGTATCAAATTATTTTCATGTGTATACCCTTAACTGTACTGCGCATTTAAAGCAAATGCTATTTGATTTTAAAATACTAGTATACTTTCATCGTCAATTTTGAATTCTTTAAACAGATTTTATAAACTTAGAGATTTTTGCATAAAGAGTATTGATTATTTTTCACACTTATTACAACATGAGTTTTTTTTTAATATACACAATTATTTTGAATATCATTATCAAAACATTTCATACAAAGTTAAGGAAAATGTTTTGTAGAATTATGTTCATTGTAAAAATGTTCAGAATGTGTATAATTTAGTCTCACATGAATTATACTTTAATAGAGGAGGTCATAGACGAAGACGAAATGCGAAAGGGTTTTTGTTATAAAGATACTCAAAAACTTGGGATTCATACTGACTGTGATTCAAATTCTACAAGTGTTGTAATTGAGGAAGACTCGAAAGATGACAAAAAATGTCAAAACTCCCGTAACTCTGCCGATGAAAGAGTCACCTGTGTAGTGGGGGGCTATAATGAAGCGTACAGAAAGTTGACGTTTACTTTGACATCTAACAGCACAGAGAACTCTGGGAATTCAATTTTGGTTAATACCACGTGTGATGCCGGAACTGGTCAGAGCAAAAATATCACATTGTTTCCTTGTTGTGAGTATATCAGTTTCACATTCAAAAATGAATAAGATAACAACCTTTTTTTATGACGAGTTTCATGGATTAGTAGAACAAGTAATAAAGAGCACGCTTTTTAAATGTAATAAATTTAAGCTAACAGCAAATCGTTTTCATTCCTCATGTCTTTGAAATGCATGTAATTGTAATGTCTATATTGTACATGTATAGGGATATAACGAATATTAAACGTTTATAATGAAGCAAAACTGTTTGCCCCTGGTTTTTAACTGTAAGCATATTTTAATGTATTAGTTGCTGAGTAAGGATACATGAGCTTCAATATATCTTAATTTTATCTTTCCTTACTTTCAGTTTCATGTTTCAAGGCAAATGTCACGCACAACGAAACACACGCCGTTATTATGTGTCAACACAGTTTCTTCAACGTGTCAGAGCAGATAAGTATCATTGATTGGACTGCTGGGGTCCCTATAGAAATATGCAGATGGAACCAGAGTACCTCAAGAACGGAGTGCGATGTCCAAAATCACGGTATAATTCATAAACTAAAAATAAATGTCAAAAATCACGGTATAATCAACTGACTTAGAAAATAGATGTGAAAAATAACGGCAATTTATAAACTGAAAATAGATATCCAAATTCACGGTAATATATTTACTAAAAATAAATTCCAAAATCACGGTAATCTATTGACCAAAAAAAATGTGCATTTATTGAAGGGATTTTATGAAATGTAAGGGCTATAAAGTTTTAGTAATAAAAATACATCAAATTTAAAGTATGTACTTTTAATAGTCGTCTCGTTATATTTCAAGTACATGTAACCCCAATGTACAGGGTGTTCCAGAATATATGATACCATTTCATGAATATCAAAAATAAAATGTGAAGAAAAAAGAAGGACAACAAATGCACTATAAACATTGCATATAGTGTCCAATTTTATTCTCAAAGAATGTTTCGAACGGTGTCTTTAAATCATGAATGTTTACAAAGACTTGTGATATTTTTGTCTAAACTGGAACACTTACTTCAGAATCTGCTTACCTACACTAAAAGCTTTTGCTTGTGTCTAACCTACTTTAGAGTATTTAACTCCCTCTGGCCTGTATTTTGGAGAAATATGTATTACTTTTTCCATCCGATGAGGACACCTTCACTCATGAAGCTTTACATCGGAAGTTGTCAGAAATCAAGTGTGCTATCATTTAAATCTAAATTTACCTGGCACTGTCCATTAAGTTGAACAATGCAGCTATTGCTTTCACCTCTAACTTTCTAGGCAATAAAGTGTGTACCGTAATCATAGCAAGTATCTGTTCTAGTGGACGAAATATCTCTTAAAAAAGAGATATCTCTCTAAGTTTAAGAGACATCTCTTTCTCAAAGATATGTGTCTTTAAAATGAGAGATATCTATTTAAGTTTGGAGACATCTCTATTTATTCAGAGATATTTCTGGAATGTCAGGATAAATTTCATTTTCCGAATAAATAGAAAAAGGGCTTGCCATACACATGACAAACAGAAAAAAGAATATAATATGAACATGTAAAATATAATGCACATGACGAATGAGAAAGAAGAACATTTATCCATATGAACATATTTATAATACAATGCCTGCGACAAATGGAGGTAAAACAAAAACTATTATTGAACATATTTTAGAATTTAATGCACAAGGCAATAGAAATAAAAACAAAACTAACTTTATGCCAACACGTCATGAATTTCATTAACCCTTTACAGGACATCCTCTTGGAATTGATGGCTTCATTACAAAATATACCCCAGGGCTAAAGTTTCTATGCACTATGGACAGACAAAGCGTTGAACTGGTTTTGGAAGCAGGTAAATTAGATACTGTAAAATGACATTTAATTGCGGTCAAATTTTCGAGGTTTTAGGAAAAATTTTGGTTTGCGGGGATTAGATTTCGTGGTTGGAGAATGTTTAGTAAGAAATGCGTATTAAATTTTACACTTCGTGGTGGTAATGAATTCGTGGGTCTCTCTATTCAAAGAAAACAACGAAAATTAAACTCCCATGAAATAAGTGATTTCACAGTATACGAATATTCGTAATGACTTTGAACTCATACTTTTGCACTTCATTTAAAGATGATGCTAAATTCATGTATTTTATATCAATCTTCTGAACGGCATTTCTTCTAATTATTCCAAAATTTTAAAATGATTTTATTTAATGTCTTAAAACAATTTATTTATCCAATTATCACTGCATTTAATGACCATCTGAATGTTGGATTCCACACCTCTTCTTATGTTAAATCTGTTTGTTTAAAAGTACTAAGATTTTGAAAAAAATAATAATTCATCTAGTTTTATTTCTTTTATATTTTAGGTGGGTTAACAAGCGGACACGATGACCAACGGATGTGCTGTAGTGTTTATATTATTATATTTGTAGCTTTGCTATTGTCAACTCTTAAATTATCTTGATTTATTCACGTTTGTTAAATATGTCCTTTAAGGTAGTCCGATCCTCAGGTTTATAAAATTATGTTAAGTAATCAAAAATACTCATAAAAGTATCTCTGAATCCACAAAATTGTGTAAATTTATCCACAGTATTTCTTTAAAGTTAAAGATGAAAGTTAATCATATTTTATTGTGGAAATTGTCAAATCTCCAATATTTTGCAGAAAAAGCGAATTGGAATATCAGCAATGCATTTTCTAAGTGCAAATTTATCAACATATATATTTTAGGTTAAAAAACGATCGGTATCCAGGCATTCAGAGAAATTGTCATGATTTTATACTCTTTTTTATACTAATTTTATACTGTTTTGTATTTTTTGTTTTCTATTTCCGTCATGTATTCTTTAATTCATAGTGTAAAAGGCTTTTGCTATCATTGCAACACGTCACAAATTACTTTTTGGTTCATATCATAGTAATAAGCATTGGTATCTACATGTAAGGCTGGATTTAAGAAAATCTTATTTCTTTATAGCTGTAATATTTTTTCCCTTTTACAGGGTACAAATGTCAACTTTTAGACCTTTTCTAAGACTTCCAAAAACCTTGTATCTTATAAAGACGAATGAAATGAAAATTGTTGCATAAAAAATTCATTTTCAATGTTCATTTTGATGTATTTCAAATTAAAATATTAATTTTTGGAGTTATCCTTCCTGGCTGAGGATCGGATATCCTTAATCAAAGAGATTTATAAGGTTAATTTTCCTGGAAAATATATTTCTACATATATGCCTTTTTTAAACTTACGCTTTATGTATATAACTAATTGAATTCACGAATACAGATATTTTGGACAAATTCAATTTATTGAGAATAACACAGATATCTTTCAAATTGTAAAGGATGCCTACAGCTAGCTTATTATTTTACCGTTTTGTAGAGTCTTTCTATAGCTTAATTATTTTCTGTATGGAAATTTTGTATATGCTAGACAAAATGGTGTATATCCATGTATTTACCTCTTTGCTTAACATGCGATTCTAGGTTCCCCTGTCTTTGATATTTTATATGCACAATGTATACCAAGAATTATTATTAAATATTATTTATAAATACCGTTTGCCTATTTTTACTTTATAAAGGCTCCTAGATTCTCAACAACTCTAATTCTGATATTTTGAACGAACAAAGAAATCATTTTCCATCATTTCTATAAATAAACTTTAAACATATGTAGTGTCTACATAATTAAATCAATACAAACAAGACCTAAAATTATTCATAAATGTAATTGGGGATTTATATTCAGGTCGAGGTGTAATTATTAAAAATTTCCATTGATCTCTCAGTATAATACATGTACAAAATAATACATTCCTCTCAGTTTGCAGTCCATACACATGATTGATCATTTGAATTTGAAGAGAAGAATGTTAAGGTACAATGCATTTTCACTGTAGATTCAACAAAGCACAACCCTAAGACTAGAATTCATAAACCTACGATCAAAAAATTTATAAATTTGGAAAAGTATCTTTTTAATCATTCAATGTAATTATGTTCTTCAAAAATTTACATATTTCCAAAATATAATCAATATCCATCCTCCCTGTAATGAAATTCACAAATTAAGACGAGGCATTTTTTGCTCATCATAATTATGTACTCAGTAAGATTGGTCAATACCCTTGAGGAGAGAAGAATTTGAAATGAAAAAATATCTGGAGATAACGGTTTCTATTCAACACTAAGATATATCATCTCGAAATGAAAGATACCACAGAGTCTGAGACACCTGTTTCATATCTGAATATATTACTTCAAAAGACCTTAATAGGGATCTACATGTATCAACAAAACTAATTATTATCATGAACGTAATTTTTTTTTTATTTCGCAAAGCCTGAGCATGCTTAACATACAACCATTTCTTAAACGAGGCAAGGCTCTCACCATATGGAGAAATGGCGTGAAATTTATTCATGAGATAGTTCCCACGTGATTTACAACTCAGTAATATTCATAAGATCTTGCAAAAACTCAAAATATACCATTTTTTTTATTCAAACACTCAAACCTGGTTTGTTTTAATTTCTATAAGCCTCGTCATAGTGATATTGATACAATTTTGCATGATTGACTGTTAACAATTCTTGACAATTCGTGATACGGTCTTTTTAATAGTAAGTAGGTCACGTTAGTGCAAGAAATTGTTTAATCATATGTATTTTGTAAAAATCAAAAATCGTCTGACCATTAATCGACGAAAGAACTCTGTCATCTTGCAAAAGACACTTACATTTTATCACCAAAAATGATAAAAACACTAATCATGTGCTTTTTCCTTCAATAAAACTATGTTTTCACGCTTCGAAAATTAAAACATCGACGGAAGAATTCTTTCTGAAATTGTTAGTATATACAGGCACGTAGTATCGGGGGGGGGGGGGGGGGGGGGGGGGGGGGGGGGCCTGGCCCCCCACTTTTTCCCCCAACATTACCTTTACTATAGAAAATGTCTATTGAAAAGATGGTTGGCCCCCCCACTTGGAATGCACTTGGGAAAAATTGGAAGTGAAAGGAACTTTGCCTTGAAAAAAGTTGGCCACTACCCCCACCCCCCACCCCACCCCACGAAATAGGATTTTTGAGTTTGTGCAATTTTCAATTTTCGTTTTTTTTTTTGTTTTTTTTTTTTTGCTTGTCAACTTTTCTTAGGTAAGTAAAAAAAAATTTCTCAGGTTGGCCCCCCCACTTTCAAAAACGATGCTACGTGCCTGATATACAAATGTTAACGGTCCTTATATTAACTATCATGGAATCTATCACCATTTTATCTCTAATATTGCCGATACATAAATGAGCATAATTAACACCATTTCTCCATATGCAAACAAACAGATGAAACAAGGGTAACTCTACAACTTACTGAATTGTTATGCAACATACATTTAATGTTTACGTGATAGAAATATGACGTTACCATTTCCCCGCAGGAACTTCATAGCGTGGCACAAGTTTCTCTAAAGTTTAACGTAAATAATACTATTACGTAATATTTTAATAAGAAAACAAGACGTGTTTGTGAAACACTATGCGCCCGGCGGTAACAAAGTTCTAAAAGCAATTTTAAGCTAACAGGTCACAGTCAAGGTCACATGATCATTGTCCTTGGTGTCATTTGAAGGCACTTAAATAGTGGCGTATGTGTACCAAATATAAAGTCTCTATCTCCTATGGTTCAAAAGTTATGGCGAAAGTTTGAAAAGCTATTTTTAGCATATAGGTCACAGTCAAGGTCACAAGGTCATTGACCTTGGTGTCGGTTGAAAGTGCCTATTTAGTTGAGTATGCATACCAAATATGAAGTCTCTATCTCTCACGGTTCAAAAGTTATGGCGAAGCTTAAAGTTGACAACAGACAGACAAACAGATAAACAAACAAACAGACAGACAGGACAAAAGCAATATACGTCCCGAATAAATTCGGGCGCATAATAACTTTTCTTATTTTATTAGACTATAGCAAGCACAAAATAAAAGGAATTTGGTAATAAATTAAAGACTAACTGAACTTTTTAAAGTGCGTGAAAATGCGTCATTGTGGGGAAACGGTTTATGCGTAATTTTTCGCTAGAAATAGGAAATGGTATATGCGTTAAAATGCTTGACTGCGGGGAAGGGGGTGAAAGAACTAATTAAAAAAATTCTATGGTCCAAACAACAAGTCTGTAAGTAAAATAATACAATCCTTCCTGGAGTCGAATATTGAATGAAACTTTTTGTTCATATTGCTAGGTCATCATTATTGTAGGCTGTTTTTTTTCGTTTGATTGCCCGATCATGACATTGATCACACACAGTTTGATAGAGAACGCTCACTCCTGCAAGGCAGCTGAGAACCACCTTTGATGTTTTAGAGTTCCGTGATTGTTTCATTCCCAATGTACTCTTTCAATAGACTTTTGAGTTATATTACGGTTCGTTATCTTGGACCATATTCCAAACCAAAATATATTTATACACGTATTTGTATTCAACAAGGAAACCATTGTTAATTTGGTCCAAGAAAATGCTTCTCAATTCAACATTTTATATTTATCATTAACTTTCAAGGTAGGCACTTAATGCCGCCCGGCAAAATATCAACACACGTATATTTTTTCAACCAGCGATATTGTTAGCTATTCGACAACGATATATGCAGACAGGTGGATGTGCATATAATGTGTAAAGAAAGACACTATATATACAAGGCGAAAGACCACCTTTAAGCAATCGCTTAATGGTGTCTTAATGGTAGCTTAAAGAATTTAATTCCTTTAAGCCACCATTAAGCTGCAACTTACAGGTGCTTAATGTCCAAACTTCATTAAGTTACCATTAAGCCACCTTTAAGCTGAGCTTAATGGTTACTTAATGGTCAAACCTCATTAAACTTTAACGCATCTTATATCGAATATTTTACTAACTTTTTAAGTTATTTCAATATCATTTACGCAATATCTATTTCAACTCATAATTTTGTCTCGATTGTAATTTCTATATAACATTTTTGTCGACATGCATAAACTCGGGTACTGAGAACAAAGTTAGCTAACAGCCACAGGGGCTTGCCCCCGGTGTCTTATAATTATTTATTTTTTCTAAAAAAAAAATTATAAACAGTAATAAAATCTTAATTTTTCACTACCGAAAATCAATCAATTTGTTCTTAAAATTATCTTTATTCATAAAATACGAAATATATATATTACTTTTAAAAAAGATGGTATTTTTATTTCATGTGTCAAAAGCAACATTCCGCTACAGAATTCACAAGAATATAAAGTCATTTATTATACTTCTGTTAAAATGTTTTCTATATAAAGTTCAGAAGGTAAAATAGCTATTTCTTATAGTTCACGCATAGCAAAGCTATACCCCAGGGTATAGTTTTTGCTATCCACTCTCGGAAAATTTTCATGCAAGTTTTGCCTCCAATTTTGATGTCCAGCGATAAATCTATTGACTGATGATGTCATAATGACTTCAGTAGCATTGTGACGTTATCAGGATTTCAGATTATTCTTGCACTATTATCTTACTACAAAAAAATTCAAATCTCAGAAATTATATTATACATCAGTATAATAGAACGCTTTTCCACTGTTCGTGAGTGGGATAGCTCTTTTATCAAACCATTAACAGGGACTATTCCCCTCGAGCAAGCCCTCGGAGAATAGTTCCCTGTATTAGCGTATAATGTTCTCATGAAAAAAATCTATGTCTTTATTTTTTTTTTGGGGGGGGGGGGGAGCTACCGATATAAAAATGTTTAGTTTTCAAAGATTGACTTTTACATCATGAATAATTTGAATCAATTCGTTTTTTATAAATATAATGCAGCTCTAAGTATCTGTCAAAATCTAGTCGATCTTCAGTGATTGTTATTCAAAATCGATTTTCAGAGGAACATACAGCCGATCAGATTAAACATGACATCCGACCAGATTTATACAGACTGGGAAACGGGGTAAATTAACAGATTAACAGTGTACAGTATACCGACTGGTTAGACAATAGACCTTAATTAGGTGTGTGTGTCCACAATCCCCAGTTAACTAACAGGAAAGTATACATACACAACATGCAGAACGTACATTGACAGATTTTGATGATCAATTATTTTTACTAAACCTGATCGATTTAGCTTTAACTCATTTGAATAACATTAAAAATCAAACAAAACCTTGCTTGTTGAGATTTGTAAAGCAGATTTTTTTTTTCCTTTTTGTGTTGGTCGTGACCATTTAATCAATGTCTTTAAAATGGAACCCAAAATGGAAGAAGGAGTGCCATCAAAAGGTATTTCTTCATCACGACCACCTATTCCCCGTTGGCAACATAGGAAATAAGATGTTGTTTTCTGAAATAAATTATTTACATTAATATGGCAATTTTGTGATTAATATGGAGTGCAATAAATAATATTATTATCGTCTTCCTTGGAAGACGGTATTATATACTAGTTGAAATTTTTTACAGTCTTCGGACAATGCACTTCCTCTCTTTTGTGATTGGTAGAAATTGCATGATGTGAAAATTTTAAATTATTTCATTGGTTGAAATGCTTTTCAAGGCAAGGAAGATAACTTTCTGATGATCTAATTTTCGTACGACTTAACAATTTTGCAAGATTTTCAATCTTAAAAAAATGACAAAACAAAAAACAAAATCAGCAGTAATTAAATCCTTAATAACATGATATTTTTAATAGCAATAGATTAAGGATCTCTTTAATTTCATTGTAAATAAATTTTATTTTTATTGCTTGCAGGTTTCAATTTGTTATCATTCTTTTTCCCTTTATTGTTTGAAAAAGGTAATGGAATCAGCCGAGGTTTGCCAAAAGCTCTAGGCCAGTCAAAGTTCACGGAGATGACCGAGCGACAACCGTGGTAGAGCTAATGCCAGTAAAAGGCTAATGTAGAAATACAAATTCAAAATACGGCCTGATAGGTGTAGATCAGTTTACTGCTTAAGGTTGTTGCTAAAGACGGTAAGCTTTTCTAAAAAGCTCTACTTGTCATATACTTAGTAGTAGATACACCGATTATGCACGGTGTGATACAGGTGACGTCACAATACCTCATATCACGAACCGATCTGAAAATCCAAATCACGTATCGGACCTGCGGGCTGAAAATCCATATCAAACCGGAAGTAGCGTTTGTATAAAGTTTAAAGTTAATTTTCTGGATTTTATTTCAATATTCATATAAAATATTTTTTTTAATGACAATTGTGGTCTTTTTTTCAGTGACGTAAAATTGTCTCCATTAGATTTTAAAGAAAAATGTCATAAACAAGCACAAAACATTCTACATGACCATATGTGAACTTGCATAATAAGTATTTTCAATATATGATGTATAGAAAACTACATACTGAAATCCATATGATATGTCACATCAGCCCTCAGGCTGAATTAGGGCCAATCGGGCTGATATGACATATAATATTGATTTTAGTATGTAATATTTTCAATAATTTTTTTCAATTGCAGTCTACAAGAAAGCGTGATGCATTTCTGTATTGAAATTTGTTTAAATTTTTTTACGCACAATGAAAAGTCAATGATATTCAACATACGTTTTAATTCATTATCTTCTCCACTCGCAACAGAGTTGGAATGGATAACGTAACGTGCTTGTTTTCGTGTGAAAGAGTGTGAATGTGTGTTAGTTAATTCTTGTGCAAAACAGAAGTGACATAATTCGCATCGGGATCGATGTCAAAGACAGCCTTGATTACCGCTTACACCTCTGTTGTCGTCTAAAAGTAGTGCGGATTGTCAAATAATTAAATTTCAACATGAATTGTATAAACATTGATTGTTTTGTATGTTTTGCCAATGATGTTACGTGTTTTGAGCTCTCTGACTCTCTAAATACTCTCCAACTTTGACTCCTTGATCTCAAAATGAAAATGTGTGAAAAAATTCCAAAAAAAAAAAAAAACCATTGTAGTGCCGTATATATTGAAGCTATTTTAATATATATCCAAATTTTGAAAGAACAAAAGAAGTGCTACAGATTGATATTTCTATTTTCATTTATAAACATTACCAACTTGGTTGGAATCTATAATTTATTTCTTTTTTACAAGATTCTTGTAATTTAGACGATAACAAAGGTGATAGAGCTGCGTGTAAAAACGCCCTCTGGTGAGAGATTGCCTTGATTATAGATATGCTTTTTGCGAGAGATGCACTGCTTTGCAATGTCCTTGTTAAATAAATGCATGTGTCTGTTCTTCATTTTAAAAGGTGATAAGATAACTAATACTTTACTTCTTAAACATTTTTATTAGTAATTCATGGAATCCGTCCAGGTAAAGAGACATACACACACGCTTTATTACTTATTCTTTTTCAACTGAAATAATTTGTTCATCTTTTATTCATGTTTGATAATGTAAATATTGATTCACAGCAACACATAAAGAACAAGTATCTTAAAAGTGTTTATACGTCTCACATAACACTGTTTAAAGTGAAAGCCAGGAGTCATGCAGAAATTCAAATTTGTTAATTCTTCATTTATCTTGTTTTATCTAATTTTATGTTGCAGCGGAAATCTCAAAGAAAGCTTTTCTTCATTTCAACATGGATACAGATTACTTAATAGGGTGATCAAGTATTACACAAAATATAGTATTTTAGACTGTGTCGGAGAATGTCGAAGGACTACAAGGTGCAGATCGGTGAATTATTTTAAAGGAGCACAATTTTGTGAAATTAACTTTCAAATTCACACTACTGAGCCAGAAATGTACAGGCAAAGTCCGGGCTGGATATACACAGCGATAGAGAGATGGAATAAGGTAATCTATATTCCTTAACGTTAAAATTTGACGATTTCAAATTTATTTTAAGATTATAATTCTTTTTTTCCTTCGTTGATATAATTCAGCTCAATTGTTATGAATTTCCAGGATCTCATACGTTCTTGCTCGTCATCGTCCTGCGCACTCAACGAAAAATGCATCCTTCAACCTTTTGGTGAATTCCGGTGCGTTTCCTCAGGTAAAATCTCGATTATGAATCTTACGTCTTTTGTCTTGATCACACTGGAGTGGCATGGTCAAGGTCATAATACATGTACATACTCTGCTCATAAACAAATCCGACACTAATTGGAGATTATAATTATTATGTAATTTTAAAAGTTCTCCAACCATTTCAGCAGTAAATGTAAAAAAAAAAATATTGAATGCAGAATTAACAAATTTTAAACTTTCACCTATATACCTGTATACCTATAGATATACCTATTTAAGAATATTGGATTGACCAAAGATGTCTATTTAAAGCTGCAATCTCTGATTTTCATTGGAAAAATGTCAAGAAATTGGCCCATTTTTTTGTTTTGATTGCAAAAAACATTAACTCTCATGAAGTAACAGTCGGTGAGTAAAAATTAAGAAGACAAATACATTGAAAATGTCTTCTATATAAATTTTCATACAACAAGAGGCCCACGGGCTTTATAGGTCTTCTGAGCATCATACAACAATTTTCAAACAATTGAATTTGGTTCGTACTTTACACCAGAGGCCATTTTGAAGAAAAGCACTATTGCTTATCATAACAATATACTTAGAATGCTTTCTTTAGTTACTGGTTTCACAATTTTGGTAGAGGACTTAATGCTGATTACAATTATGCCAACAGTTTGACTGCTTGATGCTCAGGAGTAAAGAAGAAGATTTTTATAGATTGCATTAATTTTACTAGTTTTGGCCCCACCCCTCATGCCCAAGGGACCATGAAATTCACAACTGTTGTTCCCCTTCACCCAAATTTGGTTAAAATTGTTAAGTGGTTGCATAATTCTAAGAAGCTGAAAATGTTCAAATGTTAACACACGACGCACGACAAGGGACGAAAACAGCACTTACTCGGGTGACCTAAAATATAATACTCAAGATAAATCAAGATAAAAATAACCTTTTATCGAATACAAACTTACAAGTTTTATTTCTTCTTTTTGTTCAAAACCTGCCTCATTAGAGGGTTACCATAGTTATGTATACGTAAATGTAAAACTGCCGAGCTATTGTGATTAATAACTCATTTCCAAATTCGTTCACAGAGAAACAAATCGAAGAATCCATGCTTAAAAGTGAGCATAAATCATTAATAAAAGACATCAGTTTTTAACAATTTGAAGTATTCTCTTCAAAGTGCTATATTCCTTTTAATCGTCGATTAGATGAATAATAATGAACCTTTCGAAATAGACAACATGAAAGGGTATTATCTAGCCGTAATCACATTCTCTGTGGAAAATCGTAAATTTTTTTAATCGTTAAGAGCATGGAGGTAAATACCTTGCACAAGATGGACATGGGCAATGACGCTCATTTAACTTAAACTCTGCTGTTCTTTACCAGATCTCCCCTAGTAATACCATTAAGGAATAATATTTAGCGGAAATTAATTTTTAAACACGTTCGCGTAAATTGGATTAAGCTCTATCTGAATGTGCTAGCAATAACATTTTACATACAAGACATTTTGCGGTAAACTTGCTTTAGCGGACTTTTCTTTCCACCAAAATCGCTAAATAGAATACATCCCTTAATGTAATACGTTTACAGTACCTACCACACCCTGGGGGTCAAAATTAGAATAACTTAGAAAATACTCTTTCACAGAATGATTCCACATACTTTTCAGTCCCCAAAAAGAATTATACAATATGTTGTTATCACACCTTCAGGTCTAATTTGTTATTTTGTTCTCTTGACAGACTGTGGGATCCTAAACGTGCAAAATACGTCGTGGAATGTCCAGGACTGGGATGGAATAGGAATCCATCAACAATTTCACATTAAATGCTCTGATTTCCATCTTCAGCGAGGATCCGGAAGGTTTTTGTGTCTTGAGAATGGGACGTGGAAATCGGACCTAATTTGTCTAGGTTTTAAGACTACATGTACTATATAACTATTAATAATATTTATCATCGGGTTCTCGATCAGGCTTGTGCTGCACTTAAGTAAAGTCTCTTATTTTTATCAAAATTTCCTTAATGAATTTGATCTATGTATGACATATACAATTGAAACATACATAATTTCTTTCTTTAAAGTATATAAACTATACATTCGTCTAGTTGGTGACTTTTTGATAATGACTGATATCGGAAGAGAATGTCCACTGATGGAAAACATAAAATTTAAAAGCATGAACACTTCTAATATAAATGGTTGTATCATTGAACTCCAGTCATATTCCTTTTTTTAACCGTAGGTGAAAATACTTTGCAAATAACTGTCACAAAATTAGTTATGTAATGTAACGAAATAAAATCTATCGACCCAGAAATGTAAAGCTGAATACGACTCGTAAATAGGCATACGCAATGTTCGATATTATCTACGATACATTAACACCAGGGTCTCTTCGTTACAACTGACTGCTTTATTGTCACGGGCTTCGGCGTGGAATGGTGACCCGTGTTCGTTGTGGTTAGCTTGCATTACCTTTGTTTACATTTTATTGCAGTTACATGTATCTGCGTTTGCATGTGTCATGCACTGACCTGTACAACTATAATTGTAATGGTTTCTTTGGAATCTTGCTTTCCTGCAATAGACGAAGTATTACGTTATCATTGTCGCTATAAAGTGCTGTATAACATACGTCCGTCTACACCAGTGTCAACTGATTACAGTGAACCTTGATCAAGTCCTGTCCGTTATCAATGGGTCTGCAGATATAGCGAGAATCCGAATAAAAAAGGCGGACACATTCCTTTTACGAATCGTGTTCAGCTTTAACAAAATATACTGAAGCGCAGAATTTTTTATCTAATGATTTTCAAAAAAGAATACAGTAAGGCTAAACACACAATTCAGAACATCAGAGATTTGATAAACAATTTAAATGACTGTTAAAACACCCCCTCCTAGCCATTCAATTACAACGTGCAAGACTGTCCTAAACAAACAATTGCAGCTTAATTTTAATGATACAATAGGTTAATCAATATCGAGATCTGAGCAAAGAAATAATTCTTTGCCATTTTTAAATGCCTGTTTTTTCAGATGATTAAGTCGAATTTTCTCTAACTTAGCGCATTGTAGTAACCCTGGACTTCCGGTCCAAGGACTATCATTTATGCATTTGTAGAGTATTTTTGCATCATCAACTCTCCATCACCTTTACTTTGAGATTTTGCAGCTAGAGCAATGGAAATGCATACTTAAGCCATTTTCAAGAGGCCTAAGCATTGTTACGGGAAACGAAAGGATATGTTATTAATTGAAATATAGCTGCATTACTTAAGGTGAACAGTTCAAACCCTTAAAACTCCATAATATTGCCAAATGTTTTTTAAACATGCAATTTTTGATATCTGTTAAACAGACTCAAACTTGACTTCCGGTTATGGTATGAAAATCGTTCAACCGTTAAATTATCGATACATATTTACCAAATTGAAAATATCCATAATTTTTTTAATATACAAAATTCTTTACTTTACATAATCATTTCCCCCTAAAGTAGGATGTTGCGTTTCAGTATAAAAAAAATACTCAAGGCCGATTCAAATGGTGTTTAGGATATCAGATCAGCATCAAAGCATTCACACCGTTTAAAACCAATTATTATAATCCAAATTACTTTGTTCTGTTTTAGATCTACCTAGAGATTGTGAGAATCTCCGTGAAAATGGTGATAATAATTTGCGATCGGGCGTGTACGAGATTTACCCGTATGGATCCCGAGCCCGACCTGCTACAGTTTTCTGTGATATGTACACAATGGGAGGGGGATGGACGGTATTTTTATCTATTTTGACATGCATTTAATTTTTTACTTGTTTCGTTCAGGAGGTTTTTAAAGAAAAATATCCAATTTTCAAATCCTTGTCAAAAAGTACACCGTATTGTTGAAATAATATATTTTATTTGGAAGGCAATTCAAAAGCGTGTAAATGGATCTATGAGCTTTGATAGAACATGGGACGAATATAGAGAAGGATTTGGTGACGCGGGACAGGATTTCTGGATTGGTAAATATTAACATATTTTTTATCTAATGCCTTTATATAATCATTAAAAATCAGACATCTGCTTTTTGTAAATTATATATGACATTAAGCATTTATAGAGAGGGATTCGTTGACGCGGGACAGGACTTCTGGATAGGTAATTATTAACATATTATAAAAGATTATTGCTCTAGTACATTATTTCTATCATTGAAGGAACAAACATTTGCTATTTTTCAATTGTACATGTTTATGGTTAGAAGTTTTAATTCAAATGTGTATATGTAATTGAATTCAAGGGAATAAACGGACAAAATTAAGAAAAAAAGAACTCGTTTCGCATGATGGACTTTTTCTCTGACACTTCAAGATTCAAAATCTATGCAATATATACAATGCTCTAAAGACGAAACGTCCTTAACATTACTTAATACACGACTTTGTATATTTCAGCGCGTCCTTAGCGCATCATTTATGTTGATTTAAATTAGAATTGTCGTATACTAATTAAACTTCAATTTTCCTGTTTCACAGGAAATGACGTCATCCACAAGTTAACAAAGGGAAGGAACTCGAATCTCTACATTTCCATCACTCTAGTTTACGGCAGCAAACTATATTTCAGCGAATCATTTATGTTGATTTAAATTGGAATTGTCGTATACTAATTAAACTTCAATTTTCCTGTTTCACAGGAAATGACGTCATTCACCAGTTAACAAAGGGAAGGAACTCAAATCTCTACATTTCCATCACACTAGGGAACGGCAGCAAACTATACGAGTTGTACGATCAGTTTTCAGTTTCGAATGAAGCAGATAACTATCAACTTTTTCTGGCGGGAAATGCCTCTGGAACTCTAGGTACATGTACTTTTTTCACATTATAAACGAGAGAGAGAAAGAGAGAGAGACTTAGCTTAATTATTTTCACAATAAAAAGTGTAGAATTTAACTATGCTTTAACTTAAAGGAAACACAAAACGTTAATGTTTCAGTGAAGCCATTTTTAAAATGATTGCTTATCCATCCTCTCCAGCAGACTCATTAGTAAAATTTATAAGGACGGTAGGAAGTGGGGGAGAAGAAAATTCCATAAAGGACAAGTGCACTTAAGCAATGTTTAATGGGCCCTTTTTATGTGCCATTTTACTTTAGAATATATAACCAAGTCGTTCTTTTTTGGTAATAGTTAGATACTGGTACATATTTCTAATTTAAAAGCACGTTAAGCATCACCTAAATCAGCATGGATTTGAAACAATTGAATATTTTTAAATGCCTATGGATACCCTAAATCCGGAAAAGTCGTACCAAACCTTCTTTGACTTTCGTTTATGTAAATCAAGAGGAATAGATATTTAAATCGACACTTGAACAATCTGATGGTGGATCATAGTCGGGGGGGGGGGGGGGTTGCGGAATGTTACATTTTGTGCCAAATCTGTTAATTAAAAAATTGAATGAAGTTGTGTGATCCTGTAGCCATAATGAAAAACTAAGAAATTGCTACTCTTGCATTAAAAAATACAATAATAGTTTCACTGAATTTGAAATTAAAAAGGAGTGTTTAGGTGGCTTTCAATACCTATTTCATTGTCTTGCAAGAATGTTGAATATTTCTGACACTTTTATGAATGACAATAACACCTACCCGTGTTCATACGAATATTTCTAAGCGGCACGACTTTGACTCAATGATATAAAACCTGCCGATGTTTAACTGTGAGCACCTTTGATGAATGTTTACCTGGGTAGAACTCACAAGTATTTTAAATAATTTATTCCACACGTGGGTTCAACGTGGGTCATACAGGTAAACAGATCGCATTTGTTATAGTAAAAGCATTGTACTTTTTGTACATTTTCAATATGTTAAGTACCAGCCTAAACGTGTACAAAATTCCTACTTTCTCACAAGTTTTATAGATGTATTATGCGTCTTTAGTCATTCGCACAAGTTTGTACAAAGTTAGACTCATAGTAAACAAAAGCTTTGAATTGAATGACCGTTTTCGATTTACTATAGAAAATCACAAATGTCAGCTGACCCCTGCCACATTCTATGGTTTTGTTCTTCGTATATTCGTGGATTTCAGCGGTAGAATTTGTTGAATCGTACGGTTTAGATATCAATTAATGATTTGAGATGAAAAAAGTTTGCTTAATTTGATTGTTTATTTTTTCACATTTTACCGGGGCCCATAAGTGCACTCGTTCTTTTCAACATACGTATTGGCGGTACAAGAGGAATGAAATTTTTTAAGTGTACAGAAAGGTACAGAAAAATTGTGTCGTGTTATTTTAAGTAATAAGGAGGGGACAACGAAACACTTTTAAAAATAGCCTAAAGTAGCTTTTGAAATGATATATACACACATATTTCCAGTTATTTTTTTCTGTGATAACTCTTAGAATGTTGGCGGAGTTGATTTGCTTGATAACTCTACTGGAATGTAAATTAGGCAGGTCATATTGATAGGTCAGAAGCTATATGCTATATACATGCAAATCTCGTGCGCATCTGTCTCTGTATTTGACGCTAAGGAGACCAAATATACATGTAAATCTTGTGCGGCTTCCTTTGTGTCTGACGACAGTGGCCGAGTACATGTACTATTGGCAGGGGAAGTCCTCGTGTAATTTGAATCTATGTCTACATTTTTTACAAATACAATTTTCATTACAATGAAATGTAAAGCCACTTACAAATGTATGCATATATTATCCCATGTCTACCACTATCCTTGATGTCCCTGGCATACTATACTAACTAGAAAGAAATTCCTTAAATAATATAAAATATAAAATTTGTTTTTTCCAGGTGACGGTATGTTGCACATAGACTCATCTGACTTTGGTCTGTCTGGGATGAAATTTACGACGTCTGACAGAGATAACGATCGGTGGGCTGGAGGAAGCTGTGCTGCTTATTATAAAGGAGGTTGGTGGTTCAACGGATGTTATCGTGCCTTCCTTAATGGTGCCTGGTCCCCGGATAGAAGGGGATCTCCTTGGTATCCAACGTTTAATTCTGGGGAATCTATTAAGGAGACTCTTATGACGATAAGAAGTTTATAGGTTCACATTGATCTTACATGTATATTTACATTTGCCGTGTTTCTAATTCGATCACGAACATGTACTTGATCTGAATATCATTTTCTAGTAGATATGTTTACCCAAACGTAGTTTTATATGCTTCACTCTGATTTTAACGTTTCATTGAAGCTACAGACACAGTTAAAATATAAATCAGAGGTCAGTGCAAATTAACATTGAATAATTCATGTGAATCGTATGTGAGGGATTTTTAAACTTAAAGTGTAAATTTTTGGTGTGTAATTGTAACACAGAGTTGCAATTTGCAAACTAAAACCGCCATTAATTGTTAACATATACTCAACAATATTTCGTTTGATTCTAATGAGACTATGATATGACTATTTATGAAATATCAAAATAAAAAAAAATTGTTCTAAACTTCCGTGAATATTTGTATATTTTTGTGCAGTTTGTTTTTCATTGATTGAATTATTCATTGTTTTAACATTTTTAACTTTTTGATATTTAGTTTTTAATTTTAATTTTTTTCCTACTGAAATGTTTATGTTATAAGTTTAGAAATAAAGGATTGCAGCTATTGTTCTACTGTTTTATACCCAAAAAGAAAAGAGAATGTATGGTCTAAAGTCATTGAAGGATCCTCCCCAGGTCATTCGGAGTTATTGCGTAAAATGTCATTGAAAAGCTCATACTTATCGTGATATCGCGTATCGCGTGGAAAATAAAGCCTTACGCACAGACAGAGCCATAGGCGTCAGAAGCAAATTGAAAGTGGGGGGCTTAACCAACAAAATAGGTAAACCCCAATTTTCAATTGATTGAAAATGTCTATCTTTGCAAAAAAAAAAAGTTTGGTGTTAATTTTTAGCTCTACTGGTCAGAGACCAGAAGAGCTTATGCGATAGTAATGCGTCCGGCGTCCGTCCGTCTGTCTGTCTGTCTAGCTGTCCGTCTGTCTGTAAACAATTTTTCAAAATGCTACTCCTCCTACAATTTTAGTCTGATTTCAATATTACTTGGCACACAAGTAGACTACACTAAGATACATAAAATAGTGCATCGGTTTTTAATTTCGATGAACGGTGTTGCCATGGTTACTAAAAATAGAATTTTCTGTGAAATTCCTTTAAAACGCTACTCCTTCTACAGTTTTGGTCTGATTTCAATATAACTTGGCACACAAGTAGACTACACTAAGATACATAAAATAGTGCATCGGTTTTTGAATTTGATGAACGATGTTGCCATGGTTACTAAAAATAGAATTCTCTGTGAAATTCCTTTAAAACGCTACTCCTTCTACAGTTTTGGTCTGATTTCAATATAACTTGGCACACAATTAGACTACACTAAGATACATAAAATAGTGCATCGGTTTTTGATTTCGGTGAACGGTGTTGCCATGGTTACTAAAAATAGAATTTTCTGTGAAATTCATTAAAAACACTACTCCTTCTACAGTTTTGGTCTGATTTCAATATAACTTGGCACACAAGTAGACTACACTAAGGTACATAAAATAGTGCACCGGTTTTTGATTTCGGTGAACGGTGTTGCCATGGTTACTAAAAATAGAATTCTTTGTGAAATTCATTAAAAACACTACTCCTTCTACAGTTTTGGTCTGATTTCAATATAACTTGGCACACAAGTAGACTACACTAAGATACATAAAATAGTGCATCGGTTTTTGATTTCGATGAACGGTGTTGCCATGGTTACTAAAAATAGAATTTTCTGTGAAATTCCTTTAAAACGCTACTCCTTCTACAGTTTTGGTCTGATTTCAATATAACTTGGCACACAAGTAGACTACACTAAGATACATAAAATAGTGCATCGGTTTTTGAATTTGATGAACGATGTTGCCATGGTTACTAAAAATAGAATTCTCTGTGAAATTCCTTTAAAACGCTACTCCTTCTACAGTTATGGTCTGATTTCAATATAATTTGGCACACGAGTAGACTACACTAAGATACATAAAATAGTGCATCGGTTTTTGATTTCGATGAACGGTGTTGCCATGGTTACTAAAAATAGAATTTTCTGTGAAATTCCTTTAAAACGCTACTCCTTCTACAGTTTTGGTCTGATTTCAATATAACTTGGCACACAAGTAGACTACACTTAGATACATAGAATAGTGCATCAGTTTTTGATTTCGATGAACGGTGTTGCCATGGTTACTAAAAATAGAATTTTCTGTGAAATTCCTTTAAAACGCTACTCCTTCTACAGTTTTGGTCTGATTTCAATATAAGTTGGCACACAAATAGACTACACAAAGATACATAAAAAAGTGCAATGGTTTTTGATAAGTACAAACCAGTAGAGCTACAGTCTCGACAGAGACTTCTCGTTGGTATTTATTTTCAACATTTTATGGATATGTGAACTGTTGTAATCGAACAAAAACTATAAACAATATTATGTTTCAAAAACAGACTTTTGATGTTATCGTATAAAACTAATTTGATTTATTTTATGAACTAAAAAAAATTAATTTTACACGTTCTTGTTAAATTATTAATTTTTAAGAACTATAAGTATCATACTGTAGATCACTTAATTTCCACGACATCTTATTTTCGCGGGATAGTCAGTGACTCTTTATTAGCGAGACAAAATTTAAAATTTTCACGAATTGTGATTATTGCTCTATATAATCTTAAAGGAAACGTCGGGTCTAGAATAAATTTTTGATAATTCATTCCTTGAATTTATTATTATTATTTAGTGTCGTAGCATCGTTTATGAAAGTGTGGGGGGGAGCCAGAGGAAAAGATGCCCAAAGTTGAAAATCCTATATCGGGGGGGGGGGGGGGGGGAGCTCGAGGGGGGGGGAGGGGGGGTTGGTAAACTTTAAACTTTTTCTCAGTGTTAACTACTTTCAGTACCAATTCTAATGCTACATTTTCGGTACATCACTAAAAGTGGGGGGGGGGGGGAAACAAGGCTTAAAATTAAAATTTCCTATAGTATAATTAAGGTTGGGAAAAAAGGGGGGGGGCTGCCCCCCCCCCCCCCCCTGTTGCTACGCCCCTGTTATTAATGAACTTTACCTGATATTGCCATCTGTTTTTACTTAATTATAAAGTGATACGACACCAAATGTTGGGAGATAAAGTTATCTCGCTTGCTAAATATTTCCCACAATCCGCACTTTATGACGTATTCGGAACACATTGGCTCCAAGAGTAAACATTATCATGCCGGAATGAAAATGAAAATGTGCCAATTTAGTGTTTGGAATTTGCTTTTGAGTTTGAATGTAATAAAGGACATACATGTATATTTTCACATTCTAATGATTCTAGTGTTTTAGATTTCAGGGAAACAAACATAGGAATTAATGATAAAAAAAGCAGTAAACTGGGCATTAAACTTTTAATCAAAAACTTAGCTGCAAACGTTGGATAATTGAATTAATTTTAATTCCAACTTTTTTAAAAGTTCAAATGTGTAAATCTTTCCCCTATAAATAAACAATTGCTTAAATTAGCTTATTTCTTATGTAATGAATTTTATTTCTCTGCAGTCATAAACACAATGACACTTCACACCCGACTTTATTACAAAACCTCATGATAGGGACCAATTTAGTACTTGATTTTCCTTATTTCAGCTTGTCCTTCTCCTCCCTGATTTATGCCATCTGGCATTTAATCTGTCTCAACTACGTCAGCAGCAGCCATGATAAGGTTTTCCCAATGCTGCTTCAATGAAGCTATCAAATTTTACCGTTGTTATCAGCTGTGCAGTGTTATAAGATACAGCTTTTCTTTTAATATGAGATGTACAGTTTTAAATACAGAAATTAAAATTCTGACCATACCTTTCCTTTTAGGAGTACTATTACACGCGAGAAAATTTTCGCGAGCATGTTTTGCGTAATTACGCGAAAATAAAGTTCTCCCGGATAAATAGATTTAAAGTATTTATTGCATGAAATAAAAATTTACAGTTTCCTACATTTCCGCGCAACCAGCCCTATCATTACCATTATGATAATTATTCCCTTAAATGAAACTGAGACCCCACCAATTAAGTGGGTGTTTCTAGCTTTAACCTGAATCGATTTGTCGTTGGTATTTCCTTTGTCAATTGAAGTTGTAGTGCCAACACGCACGCTGGATGTCTATGCAGGATGGGAGGTTTCTGTACTTATAGTTGACTTGGTTTCAACTATTGTTGTAGTCTGGAGTGTATCTAGTTTTGCTGTTGTTCTAATCGTGCTAGTTTCCAATATTGTGGTCGATTCTGAAGTTTATGGTTGAGGAGTTGATGTTTCTATGTTGGTTGTTGATTTTGTAGTTTGCGATATAAATTGTGTATTTACTTCAGTTAAGCTTGATGGAAAAGACGGTTTATTGTTTTCAGGTTTGCTTTAGTTGTCATTACCGTTGTAGTTGTCGGTTTACTAGTTAGCGTTGATGCTTTATTAGTGATGTCCATGCTTTCGCTTTTTTGTGGATTTTAATGTTGTTGTATCTGTTAATGATATTCCTGTTGTTGTATCAACATATGTTTTGATACACTTTCCGTCATCTCTGTAAAATCAGTTGTGTCTATCTCTGGCATCTTTGTAGACATTAATGTTGTTGATTCCTCGGGTAACATGTCGGAAACCAACGATGCTTGCTTAGTTTCCGAAGTGGTCAATGATCCAGTAGTTTGCAAAACTGTTGTTTCTTCTTGCGCAACAGCCCCGTGGGGATTCGGGTTAGAATAGGTCATCAGTACCCCCTTGCTTGTCGTAAAAGGCGACTAAATGGGACGGTCTTTCGGACGAGACCGTATAAACCGAGGCCCCGTGTCACAACAGGTGTGGCATGATAAAGATAAAGCTCAATGGCCCTGAGTGCCGAGAATAGGCCTAAATTTGCAGCCCTTCACCGGCAATGGTGACGTCTCAATATCAGTGAAATACTCTGGAGAGAGACGTTAAACAGTATACAATCAATGCATCAATCTTGCGCAACAGGCATGTTAGGTGATGTGTTACTTTCTTC